ATTGTAGGGTCATATTATAGTCACTGTAGGGTCTTCATTGTGAGGCTTTCTGAATAGAAAATGGATCAGGCTGAAGAACACAGTGGAAAATGGTAAAATGAACATAATGGACTGGAGAAAGCAGAGACACAGAAGGTGCTGAGTGATGAGAACTGCTGGGAATATCCACGGTATTGATCTGCATTTATTTCAGTAGTCAAAATTGGCCCTTCGTGGGAAAGTGGCAAGAAGTCTCAACCTGCTCTTAGAACAGGCTGAACTCTGCCTTTTATCAGAATTTAATCTGAGTCTTAGAACTGAAAAAGTCTCTTTGACTCTGCTTGTTTGTAAGTCAAAATGGTCATGCAAGAAAAGTAAGACTCTGGCCTACAACCTATGCAGAAAACTCCGAATTGTTTTCTCATAGGTAAAATTAATTTTCAATAAATCTGCTAATTCAAAAGATAGGTCTAAAGGGTTAAGCTTGATGTTTTTAAGCCTCATTACAGTCCATGCCTTTGGATCAGAAGGGCCTCATAACACTGGCCAAAACCACAAACACATTTTTCCCTTTCCCTCTCTCACTCCCCAAAAGGAATCATAGCCATTCTGACACAGTGAATGTCAGGGAACTATGATCTAAGACTTGTGATAGTATCTTTGTCTCTCTTCCTGAACTGTAGAAGCCTGATGCTCCATGAAACCCCAGCACAGATGGAAGACTGGTCAAACAAGTGTGAGTATAACACAGCCTAAAAGAGCAGCTCTCCCCAGTGAGAAACCTGTTGCTGGAGGAAATGAGAGTACCAACACCAACTGGGCAATGCCGAATGGGAATTTGTTTAGCTGAGCACTCACATCAGTATCAGTGTCCTAGGATAAGCATAATTCTGAGTCCTGGTAATTCTCTGCATAGTTTTGCAATATGCAAGGGTCCAAGCTGAATGAGAGGACCCTCAGGACCTAAACAGTGTAGTGTTGACTTTTGTATACCTTAACAAGAGGAAGGATGTGGCAGACATTTAGAAAAACAACTAAGAACATAATTACAGATTTTTTAAAAGCCAAACAAATGCTCTCAGCAATCCACTACTCTTGTAGCAGTCAAGAGAGATCTCAGTAAAAAGTCAGCAAGAGCAAGATATGAGTGAGAGATTTATTGTTTAAGGCAAAAAACTAGGTGCCTCATTAAACAAGACATTCAGCTTTGCCTCTGTGGGTTGTTTTTATTTGGTCAATACATTGCCATGCCCATCAAATAAGCCCACTTGCCTTAGCAAGAGTTCTGCCTCTAGCAAGTCATATGCAAAAGTGAGAGACACCCACTCTGTTTAGCTACAAAGTCACAGAAAGGAGAAAGCTTCCTGGCAAGGAAAACATATTTCAAAAACCTAGCAGCTGAAAAACTCACATCCCTCTATCAGTAAACAAACATACAGGTGGATTTGCAGAGGACCTGCTTCTCCTTTTTCTTTTGTGGAAAAACCTCTGTGCAAGAGGGAGCTGAGTCTGTGTTGAGGAAAGGTCACTGTTAACCAGGAAAAATGAATGTGCCCTTCCCTGAGAATTCAAACTCCAAGAACAGGAGCAGAAGTTTTCTCTGCTGTCATGAGAACTACTGCACCAGCTTGGTTGAGTGCTCTGTTTTTTAGAAACAGCAGCCGAAAGATGGCAAGGAATGATTTTGCCTTTCCTAGCAGCCCAAGAACAGCTTAACCTTGCAAGAAACACCTGTGCCTGAGCCAAGTCACTGTCAGGTCCAAAAAGTGAAACAGGCTGCCAAGACCAGGCTGTTTCAGCCATTGTAGAGTTAACTGCTTGAGAGACCACAGAGTCCATGACGTTCAGTACTGTGAATCATATGTCAGGCAAGGGATTAGGATCTTTCCAGTATGTGTTTATTTCTGGAAAGATCAGTGTGCAACGATGCTCTGGTTTTAGCTTGGATAGAGTTAATTTTCTTCACAGTAGCTGGTATGGGACTGTGATTTGGATTTGTGCTGGAAGTGTTGATAATTCAGGGATGTTTTAGTTACTGCTGAGCAGTGCTTACAGAGTCAAGGCCTTTTCTGCTTCATCCCACCAGTGAGGAGGAGGCTGGGGGTGCACAAGAAGTTGGGAGGGGACACAGCCAGAGCAGCTGACCCCAACTGACCCAAGGGATATTCCGTACCACAGGGCATCATGCTCAGCATATAAAGCTCAGAGAAGAAGAGGGAAGGGGAATGTTTGGAGTCATGGCATTTGTCTTCCCAAGTCACTGTAACATGAAATGAATGGATGGAGCCCTACATTCCTGGGAATGGCAGAACTCTTTCTGTCCTGTGGGAAGTGCGAATGCATTCCCTGTTTTGTTTTGCTTCTACAAGCAGGTTTTGTTTTCCCTATTAAACTGTCTTTACCTCAACCCACAAGTTTTCTCACTTTTATTCTTCTCTTTCCCATTATTTTTCCCCTCCCACCAAGAGGTGCTGAGGGGCAGTTGCCACCTGGAATGAAACCACAAATATTTTCATCATGTTTTGTTTCAATACCTTTTATTAAGCACCCCAGAGGCTCCAACACTTATGTGTAATGGCTGAGTTCCTCACACACACAGGTGTTAGGCCTCTGCTCTGCCAGCTGTGTTACTAACTAATCTTTAGCATAGGTCCAGCAACTAGGTTCCTGATGAGATGTCATAAAATTAAGAACAGGGAAGTAAGTAGTTTCAGTTTTACATTTTGCTTAACCAATTTCCCAGAACTGTGATATTTTTCTCCCAGTGAGATGTAATGATCTCTTACCAGAAGCTGAACTTTGCTGTTTGTTCCCTTTTCTGTTAATCTGCACTCAGAACCTGTCCTTTAAATCACCATTCTCCAAGTGTGCAATGCTTTCTGAAAGCAAAATTCATTTCCATAAATTTAAACAGTCATTAAACAAAATATTGGTTTACACAGTGAATGCAGTCTTAAAGGCACACTGTTGTTGCTAAGCCTGATGTGTATAAAACTGTCTCCATTCAAATAGTAGCACTACTGAGTATGTAATGGCACTATTGAGTACTTCATAGTAGCACTACTAAATATGGATTTGGCTTAAACCAAACCCACACAGCTGAGGGATTAAAATTAAAACCACACTCTGATTACATATTTTAATTTAAGTGATAATATCAGTCTACATCAATAGAAGTGAGGCAAATACACTCAAATACAGATAGTGTAATTTAACATATATTTATCTTTTTAATCTTTGGGGAGAAAAAGAAGGGGCTGGTGGCATCTAAAGAAGTGAGAGGTGGTGACATCTCTTACTGTTTTCTCTAACCTGGGCTGCAATCTCTGTGAAGAGAGTTCTGCAGGTTTGGGCAGTGCCTTCAGCAATTGAAAGTACCAGAGCTCAGGCAACTTTGGGTTACATCAACCACAGTGTACACAGCTTCTTAGGAATCAGTGACAGGTGGAAGTGCATCAGAAATAAAAAAAATTAAAAGCTAAAAGAAAAACAGAGTAAGTCAAGGAGTGGAAGAAGAAGGGAAAGCTACTTGTCAATAATTTTTAGAGTATACTGTAAAAATTAACGTTGGACACAGTGTATGGACATGAACTTGAGAATGTAGACTTTTCATCTTCACATTTCCCAAAGGGCACATATGTAGGCTTCTCTCTTTATGGTTTTTTCCCAGACTAAAAAAAAAAAAAAAAAAAAAAAAAAAAAAAAGTGTGTACACTTATCCTTTTAGTTTCTTCTTAACAGACAGAAGAATTTTCCAACTTAGATGGAGAGATCTCAGTGGAGAAAGATGAGAACTGGTAGTGAATACCCATTCACTATTGTCTCTTGAAACTTCAGTCATCCATAAATAATTGCCATTTCTTTTTTTCATGCTTGTTAAACACAGTCACACGGCTCGTGATTCCAAGCAATACTTTGTTACTACTCTCACTTAATTTACTCCAATTAGGTTCTGGCGTCCCTAGACACCAAGGATCTGCCTATCAGATGGAGTGTTTCTGCAACAGAGCAATGCTTGGCGAACATGAGATTAAAGTTCCCTAGGGTGGAACTGAGGCATCACTGTTCAGCAAAGCTGTGGCGACTTGTGCTTGCCTGGAACGTGACAGGACCGGTGACAGCAAATTCACCACGCTGGCCTCATGGCAGAGTCTGGCAGCACCGCTTACCTCGATAGCTTGCACTGGAGCAGCAGCCCCACTGGCAGGACACGCCTGTGCTAAAAAGGCCTGACTGGCTCTGGCTTGGGAAGGTTGAAAGGAAACTCCCTCTGCAGAGTCAGGCTGTGAAGTGGTGCCTTTCTTCTTAAAGGTCACACAAAGGGAGTTAAGTGGTGTGTTAGTTCCCTATTTAAAGTGAAATCCAGTTAGAGCCTTTAGCAACAGCTTAAGGTAGAGGTGCAAGAAAACTTCTGATATAAAGAGCAAGCATGGAGGGATCAGTCTAAATCCCAGAATTTCTCCTTCTCTATTTGCTGAGCCTTAGTGAAAGCAACTTTCATGGGTGTATATGAAAAGCAGTGGGCAGATTGCCATAAATTCATAGGTAATCTCTTCAGGGCTACTGGGATGGGCTCTTTGATCAGAAATACTTCAGTAAATCCTTTCAGAAAACACAGAATCATGAGCTGACATGTGTCACCCTATTCTTTTAAAGGTTTTAAAGTTCTTTTAAAAGTTTTCTATACCTTCTGATGTTTACATGTTTCTACTGGAGTCCTCACACACTGTTCATGTAAATAATGATTGGTTTGCATTCTTCTTTGTGGGAGGAGAGAATTGGTCAAACTGGTCAGACTGGTTGGTTTGACCAGTGTGGTTGGAGAGGTGGCAATTTCACCCTCCAATCCACTGTCACTTTTAGAATTCTGTATATTGCAAAGTCAGAAATAAAACTTCCTCTTTTCCTTCTTTTACATCTTGAGTGAATGCGAGAGTTATTTCATGTCATAGTGCAACAGACAAGACACCAAAAGGCCAAAGCAGTTAAAAACTTCAATCCCAAAGTGGGACATAACCTGACTGAAGAGGTAGACAAGTCAAGCCTTTTTAGCTCCAAGACAGGACATGAGGATGAAGCCAAATCATTGTTTAAACACCGTGTGGGTACTGCCATATCTGTACAGGCCATCCACAGCCTCTCTTGGACACAGTGGAAGCTTTGTCAGGCATGTGATGTCACTGACACCACAGTAACCCGGTACCCCCTGCTGGATCTCGTCTCCACCCCCAGAGGAGGTCACCTCCCAAAAGGAGATCTGGAGTTCCATGAACACTACCAACACTGCACCAGGAGTTATTCAGCAGGTACAATGTGCAGCAAAGGTTGAACGGTGTCTTCTTAAGTAGGATGGGCTCCCTTCAGGAGAGAAAAAAGGAAAACATCTCCTTCATTTCTCATGACCAAGTAAATACAAAAATGGACAAACATTTTACTAGAAAATACACATGCAATTGAAAAGATGACAGAGCACAAGATATCTAGACATTCTCTCAGTATGTGCCAAGAAAAACCCAATGGTTGTGGCCCAACAACAAAGAAACAGCAGGTGAGAGGTTCTGAAAGCAAAGTTTAAACCAGGAGGCTGAAAAAAGCAGTCCTACATAATAGCATTCTTCAATGGTCCTGCTTTTATACACTCTGTCAGATAAGAGTTTCACTGCATGATTGATTAAACTCTGTGGGGAAAAGGGGATTATATTTATTAGTATCTGGTAACATTTTGAAGCAGATTAAGTTTATATAAGTTGGATTCTGCCTAATCAAAACAGAATCAGTGCTGCTGACATTTAAGATTAAAGACACTATGAGGCAATTTTAAAATGAAAACCAAGGAAATTATGCCAGATGTGGAAAATAAATTGTTCGGATTGATCTATTTGTGTGGTCTGAAATCACAGAAAGCCTATGACTTAGAAAAAGGGATAGGATAGAAGGTAAGAAAAATACAGAGAAAAAACAATAACCTGGATAAACAGAGCATATAAAACTGTGCAACCAAATCAAGACAAATGCTTTGTTTTATTTTACTTTATTTGCTAATATGAATCTTGCCTCAGAGTCTATTTTTTAGCCACTGTATTGCTTCTTGAAGTTGTTTATGAAAGCACTTGCAAGAAAACAAACAGATTTACTCCTGAAGAATATACAAGACCTAGTACAAGTTGAACCAGTGAAAGGCACAAATACAATAATGTTTTAAGGAAAAACTGGCAAAAATAAGGTTAATAAGCTGTTAAAGGATGAAATGTTTTCATTGGACAAAGGAGCTGTTTAAAGTATCATATACAAATTTAAAAAGTGAACTTAGGCCTCTTGTAAGTCTACTCATGCTATAGAGTTATTGTAGCCTTAATGTTCTGAGAAAAGTAAATGAGGCAAGAATGATCTTTTCCAACTAAATTTTACTGTTTAATAAAACATACTTACTTTCTTTTCAAGCCTTTCATAACCTATACTATTACTCAATTGCTTTCTTATAATATAAATCTGCAAAGGAATTTAAACATTCAATTGCTGAACAAGTAATTGAGGTAAATAATCAAAGGCATTAGCAGGCCTCAGCATCAGAGAAAAAGAAATACCAAATGAAAGATTTTGAAGAGTACTCAGAGAACTATCCAGGGAACTACTGACCAATCAGGCTGGTTTTTGTACAGTATGATACAAACTATAAGGAAAAATAGAATAGTAGAGAAAAAATGTTCAGGAGAAGAGATATACAGAATATCTCTGTATAAAGAGACTTGTTTATGCCTCATAAAACTGGCAGAGTTCTCGGAAAAACTCCAGAAGCAAACATGCACAGAGTTATCCAATTAATGCCTCATACCCAGATGTCTAAAGAGATTGAAGTCTCTCAAAAATGCATTTGCAAGAAACTAAGAGATAAAAGGAAGGTTGTCTTGTAGATTGAAGTCCTTTAAAGACAGAAAATTAATGAGAAAAATTAATGGCTCATTTTCCTATTGAAGAAAGGATTTAGGTGGTTTCTCCCAGGAAAACTATAATTTTCAATATGGTTATTAGTTATCTGGCAGACCTAAGTGGTGAGAGATCTCTTACCTGAGAGATCTGAATGGCTGAGAAAGGCAATGTTTCTTCTAAGGTACTCCAACTTAATGATGATGGACAAAACACTAAGCTATTAGATATAAATGGGATATGAGGTTAAAGTCATAGAACCAGAGATTCACAGAATGGTTTGGGTTGGAAAGATCCAAACCACCTGCCAAGGACAAGAACATCTTCCATTAGACCAGGTTGCTGAAAGCCCCATCCAACCTGGCCTTGAACCTTCTAATGAATGAGCATCCACAACTTCTCTGAGCTGCCAGTTTCTTTGTCTTGCCAGCCTCGTTGTAAATATTTCTTCCTTATGTCCAATCCAAATCTATCCTATTTCAATTTAAAACTGCTGCCCACTGTCCTGTCACTACAGGAATGAAATCTTGCAATTCCAATGAGGATCAATTGGGCAAGCTTCGGTCCGTTTCCCTGCGCTTAATGTCATCCCATTCACCTTTATTGCTTTCATTCAGAATTGCTTTTGATTCAGAATTGTCTCTTTTTCTCTTAAGCATTGAAATTCTTCAGTTTCTTCTCCTGACTCTTTGCTTAGCTTTCCTTCCTGATTTGGGGATTTCAATGAGAATACTTTTGGCAAGTTTCAGTCCTTTTCACTGCACTTTTTTCATCTTTACACTAGGCTGTAGTCATTTGATTTCGAAATTTTCTGGGTTTGTTTTTTTTTTTTTTTCAGGGAACACAGGACTGCCACAACACGGCTCCCTCCACACCTTCCTGCTGGGCACCAGCTTCTGCCCAAGGTTGCTTTTATTGCTGCAGCTAGGGTTATGGTTACACCAAATATTTTGAGATGAAAAGAGGTGCATTGAAAAGGACAGAAAATTGCCAAAATTATTGTGATTTAAATCCTTGAATACAGGACAAAAGGAAAACAAAGAGAGAAGTCAAGGAATTCAAGGGTTGAATCTGCAATGCACAAAATAAACTCAAAAATGTGTGTCAACAATCTATGTAACTTCGAGTGCCACAGAAGGACAAACAGCTTAGAAGATTAAAAAGTACTCATCCCAAACCTTTGCAATGTATGTGCACACTGCAAGCAAGGAGCTGGAAAATTTTTAAAAAGAGAATAGGAAAAGCTGTCCAGTTGTTTCAGATAGCTTTACAACTACTTCTCTAGACAAACAAAACATCCTCATCAAGAATGAGGACCAAATGGCTCCCTACCAACCTACAAAGGTTTTGACCTAAATCTGGTTCATGTTGTGCAAATGTGTAGAGGAGTTTGGGTTCCCACTGAACTGCTGAACCTTGTGGTGAAACATCCACTGTGTTGTATGAGGAGTTATTAGGGTCAGGGTTGGAATATATGGAATCCTGGCATACACTTGAAAGGACTAAAAGGCAAAAAGAGGCATGAAGACATAGTGTTACTGATTCCCCATGTACAGAATGTGACATATGGAGTTTCTTTACATGGAAATTCCATCTCCATAGTGAGACCAAAGGGAGCATGTAGGGAGTGAGAAGAGACAGAGTGGAGTTCTATGGGAATAAGATTGTGTGTACAACGTGCTTATAAACAAGAAACTAGGCAGGGACTGCAGGATGGGTTGGTTTGTTTCCCATTACCCAGCAGAGGCACAGGATTCGCTGAAATTCTCCAGCTATTATTCCTTGAGGTCTTGGAGGGCTTTCTACTGCAGGTTTCTTTTTCTAGCAAACCATTCAGCCCCATTTTCCTTCCTTACATAAGAGAAAACCTCCAAGCCTACAGAAATATAGCTGCAGACCAGTTCAGCATTGACCTTCATTAGAACTACTGAGGTCACAATAAACTTCCTACCCTAGTCTCATGCAAATTCAAGTAATATGTTTCTGGTTGATGAAGATTATGATAAGGGAATAATAAAGTGATTACTTCAGAGCAAAGAAAAATGCCTGCTGTTAAAACATGGGCACAATCTTTTATGTTTGAGTATGCAGTAAGGAAAGGATTGCAATCATCTCATAACTCGTTTTTTGACTATGTAGGAAACATTGGTGACTCATCATGCAGATATACAGGCTGAGGGGCTGAACTACTTAGTGAAAAGCCCTACAGAGAGGAGCATGTCATAATTGGCTCCTGAATCAGCAGAATGATTATTCCTCTCCTGCTTATCTGTACCTAGCACTGGGGAATGGAGCAGCAACTTGCCTTTACACAGTAACTTGTGGCTCAAGCTAATGATCAGGAAGTTGAAGACCTGGGACTCATGCCTGCTTCTAAGTCTTGAATCACCAGGCTACAGGATTGTAAAATGCTTTTTACCACCCTCACTGCATCCTGACCTCATGCAGAAGAGAATGGAAAATTCATAGGATCAGCAACAAGTGAAATTTATAGAAGTTTTGATTCCAGTAAGAAGTGGATTCCTCTGGCAGAGAAGAACCATAGATCATGAGCTGTGTTTCCAATGTTCATTACATATTTTATTTAATGATACTGAGGTGGATATTTAAGAAAGAGTCCCTAGAGCAGAAACTCATTCTGCTCTAAATGAATTGTTACAGTTGGAAAGCAAACCACTGTTCAGCTCCCCTATCCTGACAATGGCATGTGACTCTGCAAATTCCAGGCTCCTTCAGATGATTATATCATCTCTGTGGGATCATAACAAATGTGCTTTTATCTGTAAATCCTGTCTCCCAAATCACCTCTGCAAATGCCCAGTGAAGTGCAGAGGAACAGAAAGAACAGAGAGCTGTCAGAGTACTGATCACATCTTAGAGTACTGATCACAATGCAAATGGGTTTTATCCAAAAGCCACTGAGTTGAATAAAACTTCTCCCACTCATTATTCTTCTTGATTATTAAACCCCAGCAATTCAAGGCCCAGCAAAGTGATGCATATCTAAGATATGAATTCAGATACAACATTTGCATATGAATTTGAACATCTCCTTTTAGGATATGCTTCAATAGAGCACAATTATACAGCCTGGAAGAAATTAATTGTGCCACTTATAAAAGGCCAAAGAAGAGACTGACCAAAAAAAATCCATTGATTACAAAAGGTCTAAATTGCAAATCTCTCAAAGTGTTCATCACTATTCTCTATCAGAGGCTGCAACTGCCTGCTTTCTGCTGTGAAGAGCACCAAGTCCAATTTGCACACCATTACGATTTAAAATGGCATTTACAAGGATTAAATTCTCAAAAACCCAAATAATTTCACTGTAATTTCTGAATCAGCATAGTCCCATTAACCCAGCAGGAGAAATCAAGTGGGACAAACACAGAACTTCTTTTCTCTGTCAAGTAATACAGCAAAGTCAGGAGAAAAATGTCCTACCTCACATATCACGTAGCTGAACATATAGAATTTTCTGAGACTTGAGCAAATGAGCTAATAGTAATTTTATTGTAAACACAATATTTTTAATATATGAAACAAAATACTTATAGGAGGAAATAATATGTTTATTAATGCAGATTTTATATTTGAAAAAAAAGATGGTCTTTTGAAAGTCAAGTCTACCTTCAGGTCTGAAACCAAAGTCTTTTCACTGATTGCAGAGTAGCAGTTTTGAACAAATACTCTTCCCTTGCACCACTTTCTATAAAGCAAAACTCGGAAAAAGGTCTACTCTTTCCCAACTCTCATTATTTGAGGAAAAAAAAAAACCAAACTAAGAATCAATTACACTTTAGGATGAAGTATATAATGCATAAACTGTCAATGAATGTAAAAGAAAATCATGTAGTACTTCAACACTTAGAAATAGAAAAACTGCAGCAGTTACAGGCTTGTGCACCTTCCCAGCATCTCTTACCTGCCATTTTCTGTTATCTGTCCCACTCCCTCTCACTGAACCTTAGGAGCCCTTGGATCTTCTTTCAGTAATATTTCTTCCATATGGTTCTCTACAACTTGCTTTGTGTATCCCAGTAATGTTTCTTTGTTATCCTCTGAATCCACTATGATAGACTGGACATTAACATTAAGAAAATTCTCCTGGACTTCAGCAACTTTTTTCTCATTTTTTTATTTACACTTCTATAAGTCTCTGGGTTTTTTCACCTTAGCCAATACCTATTTCAAGCCATAGTGGAAAAGCAAAGATATAGAAGTTCCTTGGTGACTTTTACAGCTATTTTATAAGTGCACAGAAATTAAATAAAATTGATTTTAAGGATAGAACTTTTCTTTCCAAGGTTTTTAAGCTTGTCTTCTTCTGATAGCCTTTCAAGACATTAAGTCTGCATTTCCTGCCACAAGATTTGCCAAGGAATCTGATATAATTGCAATATGATTGTGACATATTACAGGATCAGGAGGATAAACTGATCATCATGGATAAGCCAAAAAGTTTGAAAAACACGACACTACACTACAATATTTGTGTAGTCCTTCATGCCAAATTTGTGAAGACCACTGAGAATGACATTGAGCTACTTCAAGTTTTTTAACGCGATGGACTGGAATCTTGAAAATGGAACTGGTGTTTATTTGTTCCTAGGTTTGAGGGTTCATTTTCACCAGATAGTTACAACCTCCTTCAGTTATCTGTCTCTTTGGTATTCATTAACATTTACCCATTTAACAGATTTCTTTGATTCTCAAAGATTGCTGCCAGGAAAAGTAATCATCTGATTTCAGGTTTTTGAAAAGCTGAATGGCCTGTATTTTTTCCCTCTTCCATACATCCTTTTCCTTTCCCGTGACTGATTCATCGTCACATACAGGCTGCCCAAGTGTTTTCTTACTTTCAGAAAGCTTCTTGACTTGTTGATCTTCCTGACTATTATCCATCTTCACACTGGATTTTAGGCTGTGGAAGCAGTAGTCACCAACCTGGCAAAGGAAAACTGGCTCAGTGCTGTCAGGGTTTAACACCACCAAGTTACCTTCTGACAAAGGCTGCTTTCCAGGAATACTATTTTTCTTCTGTAAGACAGGCAAAGAAATCTTTGTGGGCTTTGAATGTTGATGGAGACCTTCAGGGACAATAAGATAGTCACCAAACGTATCCAGGTGCAATTCAGGAGATGAGGTTGGTGCTTGGCCTGAAACTGGGATCATGACACCAGTTTTCCCCAGAGAAGACTCATGGCAAATGTGGTCACTGGGAGGCTGGGGCTGCTGTGAACCACAGGGTGATTCCTCAGCTGTGACGAGTGGAGGATGAGTGGAGGTACTGGCTGATGGCAGTAGCAGGCTATCCGTGGTGATGTATTCCAAGGGGCACTGTTGAGGAGACACTGTTGAGGTACAGCTGAGAGCCTTTGGAGAGCTCTGCTCCTGTGTTCCATTGTTGGTGCCTTCTCCACAGGCTGGTGAGGCCTGTGAGACTTCTTCCTTATCATTGAGGTGCTGCATCATTTCCTGCTGATCTGGGAGCACATCCTTTGGAGGAACTGCTTCTGCCTGTTCTTGTCTCTGTGAGGTCTGGGGAGAGTCTTCCCTTGGGAGAGTCACATACTGAAGGGAAACTGATTTCATACTGAGTCCCACAGGGTCCATTTCCAGGGTCTGGTGTATATCAGGGTGAGAGGACACCACTGGACTGTACAAGTATGGACCATTGAAAGCAAAGCAAGGGATTGCTGTGTGGGAAGCAATACTTGCATCAGTGCTGTTTCTCCTTGAAATGGAAGAGGAATGACCAGCTCTCTGACTTGAGCAGGCAACTGGGGCATGCTCTGACTTATTTAAAGCATGGTATGAGTTTTGTAGGTCTGGTGTAACAGAGGAAACATCTGTCTTCTTAGTCTGCCCTTCAAGGCACTCTGCCAAAGTCTTCGCCTGCCTGAATGTGGGAAAGTTAAAAGTTGCTCCTGAGAGACATTATTGTTTTAAGCACAAAACATAAAACGATCTTAGCTGAAAACACACAGAGCTACACACAGGCTTAGAAAAAAATTTCTTGCAGATGTAGTTATCCCTGTAGTAAAAAATTGAATCTCCTCCTCAAAAGCAACTTTTATAGGATTTTTAGTGACAGAGCATTTGATTATATTCTGCCATGATGCAGTGACGTCTCAGAGACCATTGACAGTGTCACTACCATCTGCTGTTCACTCACCTGTCCACAACTTGAAGGAAGCTAGGCTGCTCCATCTTCTCTGAAAGGTTGTATTTGTTGAAGTCCAGCTGGTTGCTTGTTGGCCAACTTCCCAAATGTCCTTTCTGAAAATGAAAAAGCAGACATGACCAAAGAGCAGCATCTCACTGTCAGTAGAATCAGGAATTGTACATTCCCTGTGGATTAAAAAAAAACCAAATAGCAGAGCCTACAGCACCTGGTAACAGGGATACAGCTTCACTAATACAACTCAAAGGTATGTTCTCCTCTCCAGAAGATGGTTTCTTCAAACCCATATTGCCTTACCACTGACCTAACTACAAGAACTCAGTGAGACAACTAGGAAAGCTGCCCTCCTAAACTTGTTATTTGTGAATCGACGACCTGAGGTATTTGACAGAAGGTGGTTTTCTTGGCCAAAGTGATCATGATTGAGTGATTGAGTTTAAAATTTTCAGAGTAATGGGAAAAAAGAAAAAGGAACAGTAGAGTTGCTACTCTGGTCTTCAAGAGAGCAAACTTCAAGCTGTTCAGGGAGCTACTTGGCAGTGTCCCCTGGGAACCTGTTTTTGAGAGTTGGTGAGTCCACAAATGCTGGGCAGGTTTTAAGAATCCCCTTTTAAAAGCACAAGAGCAGGAAATTTTAAAGTACAGAAATTTTTTCTACATTGATTTTAAATCACAGTTGTGCTGACAAGAGCAGCACAAAGAAGTCTGCTAAATATAAGAGCACTGTTAAGTTGAGTAGGACAGAACTTCTCCTAAAACCAAGTAATAGATAAATGAAGATCTCTGTTCATTGTGGACTAGAAAACAAGAGCTATTAAGACTATTGAAAGTCCTGAAAAACAAAGAGAAATAATGAATCCTTCAAGGAATAGTTCCCTCTTACCCCCAGGTAGCCCTGGATCAGGAGACTCTTGCTGGGGTTCGGAATTTTCTCCTCCCACATTTTCTTCTTCCTGCAGCAAGAACACAGTTTTCAAGATTTGCTTCTCAATTTTGCTCTTACCAGAAAAGGCTGTACCACATTCACCGTGATGCTCAGCACAGCAGGGCACGACCAAGGCAGTGCCACAGCATCACCCAATTTTCTGCCCTGCACAGCCATGCACAAGGCTGCCCACCAAGGCCCATCTCCAGAGAGACCTCTCTCCTGGGGGGCAAGAAGTGCCTCAGACTTCATGCCACCCACATGAGCTGCTAAGTCTCCATGTTGCAATGCAAGCCTACCTGAGGAAATACCTATAGCTGCAATAAGCAGCTATCAGAAAAGCGATGATGAGAGCTGGGAGAGTCACTGGGAGAACCACAGGTGACGGAACTGAAACAGAGAAAAAAGAGAAAGCTATCCACCTGCAGAGTGACTGTTTCCTGCAACAGGTTTTTCGTTCTGGCCACTATTCATGGAATTTGATGCGTGGAGGAACAAAATTGTTATGAACAAGTTCATCGCTTAATACAGTGGGAGTAGTTAATGCATTTAAAGTTGTAATAAGTTAATTATGTAATTAAATAGTTGTTAAATGTTAAACCCTTGTTGTACCCCCACTGTTAACTCCCTCACACACACCTTAGTTGTAGTCCCTTACCGTACCTGTACCCTCGTTACGTCCATCAGGTATTGCCTCTGCTGCTTCCCAAAATGGCAACCGGAACATTCCCAGAAAATATGCAAATTAAGAAAAGCTCAAGAAAAGCCAACCAAAGACCCTAGAAACAATGAGCCAACCTAAAATTTGAACAACTAAGCAACTAGACCTACCGTCAAGAAGTCCCTCTACTCTACCAACATGGTCTTAAGTGCCACCATAACCTCAGTAGAACTGAGTCAGAGTGAGGACCCCAGCCAATGAGCCAAAAGACATCTTCCTAGGCACGCCTGTGAGGATGGAAGCCCCAGTTCTGCTGTGGAGCAAAACTGTTCACCTCCTCCTCTGCATTGCCAAAGGGAGCAGCGGCGGTGTGTGCGAGCCCTTGGGCCCCCACTCAGAGTGATCACTTTAATAAAGGCATTCAAAAGGAGCTGGCCTCCTTGCCCATTTATATCAGCATCATAGGGCCTTCAAACTGTTGGAAAACCCTCCAAAGTGGGACAGGCCAAATGCGACCTGAACAGCGTACCGACCAAAGGAGTTGTTTCCTTTACTGATACGCTTCTTAGCTTCTACTGACATCAGAATTAAACATTTTAAGCTAATAAAAATGTGGTTATGAACCTTACTCCACCATGAACAACAGGCATGGCTTCAGACATCTGAAGTCTGCCTGACTCAGCACAGTTCTGAGGAAATGGGGTCTCAGAGATTTTCTAAGAGCTCTCCCTGCTAACAGCCACAACAGCAGACAAATTTCTTCCTGAATACAGGCATCAGCATTTGCCCACAGTATAACCACTGCAATCTTCCTCAGGACAAATCATTCAAGATCTTATTACTTTGGGCAAATGATTGTATGATAGCAGACATTCTGCCTTTAAGTCCATAAACAGCAAAAAACATGTAAAGGTCTTATCTCTAGCAGATTCCACTGTGTGTTTTACACAACCTTAAAGTCACTCTGCGAATATAAAAAGTTGATGTCTTATCTTCTATCTTCTTAAAGTATCAGGCTCTTTAGTCACTGACAGCAGAATGGACTACTGGAATCAGAAAATAATTAATCTTTTGGGCAGGATGTCTTTGCATCATTCTCCACATGAAAAACTTTATGGTTATTTGTACTCACCTTATGAAGGCAAGTAAGAAAGAAGCTTAAGAGGTCATTCACTTCCTTCCCTAGCATTGTTGATGTACCACAAGGATGCAGGCAGAGCAGCTGCCTTGGTAAGTGACTCCAACTAGGTCGTGGCTGCACCACCCTCCAACCTCAGCTGAGAGAATGTGTTACACTAAAGAGCCATCCCAGCCATTAGCAGTCCACCAAAACCTGACAGAAGCAGCTGCATGAAAAGTACCACTCTCAGTCTTCCAGGTGAACTCCTCACTCCATTCACTCCAAGGTCCCTCATATGGAGGCTTATTCACCCTTGCACGCATTTCCCCCCTATATTCTGTAGATGCTGCCAGCATCTGCAGTGTGAAGAGGAAGGGAGGTTCGTCATTGCTGATATTTAACACCTGGAGAGTCTGGGGAGAAGGGAAGAGCACAAATGACAGAGGTAAGAAAAATTGTCTTTCCATTTGACCAGCAAAGAAATATCCATGACTCTTGCACTTTATAAGTTACCTTTTCATATCGATTGTTTTCCCAGTACTTGACTTGGTATCTCTGTGGTATGGAGCTGTAATTCAAACGGTGTTTTTTCCACGTTAGTTCATACTCTTGGTTGCCTGTTGCTGTTACTGACACATTTGCGGGTGGCAGCACCTGAACTGAAATAACACTGCATGTCTCAGAGCACTTACCACCCTACTGGTCCAGTCCTCTCTTCCCACATTGTGAATCATTTCCAGAAACTGAAAACAAGGTTGTTTTGTGCAATGTAAAATGGCTCAGCTTTTTAACACTTCTTAACTCTGCATTTTCTAGTCAAATATAACATTATTAACAGTATACAACAGTATTAAATAACAGAAAATTCATACCCATGAATACTGAGAGCACTCCCTGTGTACAGAAAAGCAACAAAACAATAGTTTAAATATCTGTACTTGTCCACCACATTTCCAGAAATTTTCAATTCTCTTGGAGCTACCTCTTGATATTTTCACCCACTGCAGGAGCTGCCCTAGTTTTAGAGTTTGAAAAATCACCCAAATACCTTCAGATACATGTGGGCAGAGATGGCCTACCTCGTGCACCTCACTGGGCAAAGGATTCCTACTTCATCCAATGTTCCAGGGGCCATTGCACAAACCCACAAGAGCTCACTTACTTCTTGAGAAATCACATAGTGACACACTCCTACTCGCTACAAACACCTCTCACCACAGTCCCCTGTCACCTGGGACACTCATGAATGTGAATCACAGAGAAGTCAGCAGGATGGCAAATGCTCACAGAGAAGCTCCAGGTCACAACCTGGATTTCTGCACAACAGTTTCCATCACTGTCACCTTCCTCAGAGTAACAAGTGCCACTGAGGAACTCCACATCTACATCCCAGAGCTCTGACCTGATACAGTCCCTTTCTTCATCAGTGATTGTTTCTTCCACTGCCCACTCACTTTTCCTCAACACCACTGTCCTAAGCCCTACTTGCTCAGACAGGCATCTCTCCAAGAAACAAGAAGGAGCAGCAGGAAACAACACAGAAACTCACTGTTTTTGTAGGCTTCAATCAGCTTGTCCTCTGTCTTGGCCCGGACAGATACATGGTACTGGCTCTGGCTGCTAGAATTGCTAACAGGGATCTCACAGCTCTGTACCACATATGGGGTGTGGGGCAAAGTCTTCTCATGCACAGGAGAGCACTCCTCTTCTCTGAGGGGAAGAAAGAGGATGAACCAGGGGAATGGGACAGGCAGAAACCCTATGGGAGAGGCACAGACACATTGCCATGGGCAGAGCACATACTCTGATGCTGGGGTGGCCTTGAAGAACAAGCCAAAGAGGACAGAGGTGGTGATCACTTTCTTCACTTCCCAGCTGCACGTCAGACGATCTCCACCACTGAAGAGGCAGCGAAGGTTCCTGGGCTGGAGGCCACCTTCAAAGAACACAAGTGTAAGGTTAGTGACAGGAAAGTTCTGGTTTCTCAGTTTCTGACCCTTCATGGTCCCACTCTATCCCATGCTACCTTCAGGGGTCTTCCATGACACCTCCATGCTCCACTTGCTGTACTGGCCAGAGAAGCTGCTGGCCTGCCCTGGTCTGGCTCGCACACGGGCGACGTAGCTGCTCCCTGGGACAAGGTCCTCACGGCTGAGACTGCAATGGGTGGTGTTGGAGAGCAAGAGCGAGGCAGCTTCCTGTTGTTGGGGGAGAGGAGAGAGAGGAAGGGACGGAGGAAATTGGGACATTGGGGAATGGAGAGGTGGAGGGAAGACCAGGAAAGAGTGAGAGGAGGAGCTGACTGCCAGACTGCATCTCCAACAGTCCCACAAGTGTGATGGTCCACGCACGTGCTGCCATGCAGTGTTTCCTCGCTGCCACACAAGAAGGGCTCCAGCGTGTCCTGCAGCAGAACTCGGGATGGGCAAGGCATGGCCACTCCCAGGCACAATCTCCCCCCAACAACAAGTGGCAAACTCCAGCAGCTTGCAAAGTCCAGACTATCTTCAGCTCCAGTTACATATGTTCACAGCACTGCTCAGTGCAGAATGGTGTGGGAATCTGGCCAAGACAATTCCCTTAAAATCTAAAGATCAGTCTGACAGGTACAGAACAGAAACATATGCAGATCTAGGGAAATGACAGGGCAAAAGATATGGGCTGCTAAAAGCTTTAAAAAAACAATAAAAAGGAAAACCCAAAACATATTTGTCTCAAAGGGGGAGGAACTTCAAATGTATTTTGCTGTTTTCCCCACATGAACCCATGTGGGTTACACATCCTGTTAGAATGTGATTTAATTCAGTTTAAGAGGGATTCAATTCCAACTCAGATCCAAGTACAATGGTTGGGAGTTTGAGTGGAGAAGAGATTTTTTCATTCAGTTCAGGAAAAATGGTATTTCACAGGACAAGTCACTTGCTAACAGAAAGATAGCTTCTTCCATCTGACCCAAAACAACACTTGTAGTATCTCTTCACAGTCCCTGAGAATGGAAAGGCCATTCATTCGCACAACTTTTACCACAAACTTTGAGCTGCCCAGAATGGTGCAGCCCAACCCAGGACAGCTCAGCTCCTCTGCTCTTACCTCCCAGGACTCCCACTCTCGTTTGTAAGTGACTTCATAGTCCAGTACATTTTCCAGCCCTTGGCTTCTATCAGTTGTTTTCCAGGTCAGCAGGAAGTCCCCCGAGGTCATTGAGCTGACTGAGAGGTTTTGAGGTGGGAGAGGCTGAACTGGAAGGTGAAGGTACAATGTATGAGAGGAGATAATGAGGAAATGACACAAAGAGGGGAAGAAAGTATCTAGGTAATCTTCCCCATTTCCAGAGTATTTTATCCCTGACAGACCAAGTACCTCCTGCTTTACTAGCTCCTGAGATGATAATAGATCCAGCTGCTCTCAGAAACTTGCCTTCTTCACTCCCTAACCAGCTGTCTCAATGGGGAACTCTTTGGCAGTTTTCACAATGGAAGTGGAATTCACTTCCAAAGGAACAGCAAATACATTCTCAAAAATCCTTAAAATTCATGGGGATACAAGAAATTGGTATTTAAGCCTTACCATTTTGGAAAAGATCAACATCCAGTTCTGTTTGAAGAACCTTTTTAGGTCTGAAGCCATAAATATCATCTACCCCTATTCCAAAATAATTTGTAGTCCTGTGGCAGACCCAGTGTACATACACATCTGGAGTTTCCTGCAAGTCATTTACTTTCTGGCGTTTGCAAAACATGTCCTTGTTCTCCCTGTGTACAGAGAAAGTAATCCATAAAGATCTGATCCAAAGACCTGTAGTTAGTTCAAAATGAAACACCTGACACCAGTTTAATCCCATCCTGTTGTTATAATTCACAAAGGCACTTATATCCTCTTGTCACTGCTCCTATTAGTCCTGGTTTGCATCAGATAATACGAGAAAGATTTTTACACCAGAGTTTTGCCTCCCCATTTCAAAGTCATGGAGCGGAATTTTGCAGTACCAGTTAATTTTTGTTTCCTTTAGCCTAGTTCTATGTAATCTCATGTTTTTAGGTAAAAAATAGTATGATGAAAATTAATTCCATGTAAATACACCTCTTACTTAGAGTTAAAGGCTGTAAAATTTCTGATGATCCTAAGCTGCTTGAAGACTTTCATTTTGCAGCACCAGAAAAACACTTAGAAAAAGATTCTCAACCAAAATGTACTTCTGTATCCTTAGTAGTTCTGCTCTGCCAAGGGACCTTAAGTATTCATTAAAGATTTCATCCACAATGTTAATCATCCTTTCAGATGGCCTTTCTCCAGGCCAAGGAGCATCATGAAAATTTGAAACCATTTTTTAAACTAGGCATGAGAGGACAATCTTTGTGTGGTTGCAGTGGCCTCAGCTGCTGGAGAGATGCGTTGCTTCTTTATGTACCCTGTGGAATTTTGTTTGTGCTTATGGCTTCGTTCCCAGAATATTATCTCGTTCCAGCTCAGATGAGAAATATTAAGTTGTGAATATTTAAGGCCAAATACTCTCTTCCAGGATAGGATGGAGTCTTCTAGCCAACTATATGTCAGCAAGCATTATTCAGCACTATTGCTATTTTTGTAAGTTGGATATTAGCAAGGAAACCAGGGACATTGCTGAAGTATGGACTGGACACTGCAGCATGTGTGTAGTCTTAAGCAAAAGAGTCAGCCCAAAGGGTGTGAGGCCATGAAGTTATTTCTATCTACTCACTAGCATTACCTTATAGTTTGGGGTTTAGTCAACTACTCTTCATCTATGAGCTGATCTTGTTTAGTTGTTGGCCATTTTCATTTCAGCTGTGCGCTGTCCGTGTTTAACACCTGCTTGTCTGATTAGTTCACCTCAGTTATGTTTCATGATCCACACGTTTCATCATGTAACAATGTTTCAGAGAATCCTCCAAAAGTCCAAGGAACTTTATATCATCTTTTCCCAGAAGTATTTAACTTCAAGGTCCTGCTCCAAAGTTCTTTAACTGTTTTCATCTGCTTTTAGGTCTATTAAAATCCCTTTGTCTGCAACAAAATCAAGAGTTCTTCCTTTTGCCTTTTCTTCCTGTATCCCCAGACTCTAAATAATTTTCTTCTCAGCTATCCATCTTTGCCTTCCTCTCTCCCTTAACTATTCCTCCATTTCTGTCCTTTCTTATCCTCACCAACAATTCAGTCTGGTGATTTGGTTCTCTTCCGAAAAGGAAACAAATGTAACAGAGAGATACTGTCATAAACACACCAGTATCTCTAGGGGTAAAATTGCTGGCACAGATAGAGAACTCTCCATCTCATAAATATACAGTCTACACGTATTTCTCAAAAGCTATCAAAACCACACTCTCAATGATTCTCCTAAATGAGCAAAATGACAGGGGGAATGTCTCCTCCCTTTATGGTTTACACAATACTCACACTTATTCTGACACCTCCTTCTCCCCTAATACAAATTATTAGCAGCCTATATGTGCCATTTATTTCATATCTATGAACCTGCAACAAAATTATGGAAAATAATTGTAAAGGTGATGAAAATAACTCCACTGGCATAGCCTATTCATTCCTGTCTTCCTAGATGAGGCCTCAGAAGCAGGTGACTTTTGACTCTTGCTTAATTCAAAAAGAGAGTGGACGTGCTTTCTAAAAATTTGACTGCATGTCCCCAGGATTCCAAGTTATGGCCAATTTCCCTTTGGACTTTTATCTAGCTCAGCACATTTCAGGTACTTACATTTCAATATTATCCCTTTGGTAAAGAATCATACCAACAAGGTCATGAGCCTTTGAATGCTCCATCCATGTGCAAGTCACCTGTGAGCTGTAGTCATTGTAGCACTTCAAGCTTTTCATTGGGATACTCTCTGGGAAAGGAATTCAGGCAAAGAAAAGATGCAGTGATTAAAAATATAAATGGTGGGAGATGAGATTACAGAACTCTCCCCTTTGCACCAGACAATCATAGACCCATAGAAATGTTTGGGTTGGAAGGCACCTTAAACATCATGTAGTTCCAACCCTCCTGCCATGGGCAGGGACACCTTCCACTGCACTACTTTGCCCAGAGCCCTGTTCAATCTGGCCCTGAACATCTCCAGGGATGGAGCCTGACTCCATGAATGTATGTGCAGAGCTGTAACCATTCTGCACATCTCCACAATACAGAATTGTCCAAACCAAGCTACAACTAACAATAATTAACTGAAATCTTTGTGCCTGCAAGGCATACAGTTCTAGCCAAGGTATCACTTTTCAAACACTGAATATTTCCAAGGATTAGTAGATACCGTGGTAGGCAGACATATGGTGATCATTTCCTCCTTACGTGTTGCTGTGTGAACTTCTTTGCTACTAACTTCCCAGTAAAGTTTATAATGCTAGAAAGATCTATTTAAAAGTGAGATGTTCTGGGATAGCCTTGTTATGACTCAGACAAATGTCCAAACTAATTTGTTGGAACTAGATTTATGATCTAGAGATGGCCAGACCTCTCATCAAGGACATTTTTTTTTAAGTTCACAACTGTGAAGCTGAAAAATACAGACTGCCTCTGGCACATGCACTATAAAGCAAGCTGCTTTCTTATCCTTGCTTATTTTCTCTGAAGGTAATATCCATGCTGCACTATTGGGATATTGCATCTTCAGGTGACAAAGGTGCATACATGAGTGTGCTCTCTCAAATAGTATTTCTTGATGGGAGCTATAACCAGCTTGTTTGAGAGGCTTTTTCCAGGCAAAAACTCATCAGAACAGAATGATGCTGTCTTAGGAGGCTTAAGAGGGACCTTACTTTGATCTTCTACTGAAAACCAGTACAAAGTAAGTTCTACTGCCTTCCTTGTGTAACCAGAGAATGGAGCATCCCACATGGAAAAGGATATGGAAGTGTGAATGTGGGGCTAAAGCTCCAAATGCCAAGAACCCAGTCTGACCTACACAGTAAAACATTTTCCCTCAGAGACCTCAAAGGAAGAGATCCTGTTATTGATGCTGGGCCAGGCAGCACAACTCCTCCAGCTACTGCAGACATGAGGCATCTGCATTAGAAAAGGTCGATGTTCATGGGGCACAACTCCTGATAACACTCTTTAGGATGGCTATAGGCCTACTCTTGTGGCAGGTTTGGCGTGCTTTCTATTCCCAGCTCTGTTAAACCAAATTAGGGGGCAGGGGAGGACAGAGTGTGGGAGGAAAAAGGAAAAAAAGGAGAAAGGGGGAATGGGAAAGAGGGGAGGGAAGGGGAGGGGAGGGGAAAGGGAAAGGGAAAGGGAAAGGGAAAGGGAAAGGGAAAGGGAAAGGGAAAGGGAAAGGGAAAGGGAAAGGGAAAGGGAAAGGGAAAGGGAAAGGGAAGGAGAAAAGAGAAATATGCTCTCATTGTGTAAGAAAGGAAACACAAGCAATGGATATGGCAGATAGTCTCTTTATTTTTCAGCTATTCCACAAGAAGAAAATTAGGTTATCTGGATTTTTCTCTTGGTAGCCCCCACCACACTGTCTTGTGTCTAGCTACACATCTCTAGTCCTGTGCATTACCATCCGAATTATGCAGCACTTAATTTTCCTATGTTTTCACTTATTATCAGGGTGTACCCCTCCTTCCATTCACTCATTATCCAACCAGCTTGTTCATCTCAGCCATTTATACAGTATTTCAGCTGTCCATACCACCAACATACAACTGATTTGGCTGCACATGCACCTGCTACATGCTGGTTTTGATCAGGATGTCTGTTTTCTTACAGCTTAGAAAAGAGGAGAAGAAAGCAGAAAAGCCAGCAAGAAAAGGAGGAAGAGCATTAGCTGAAAGAAGGAGACAGTTTTAAAAAGAAAAGCAATAATGGAAGGATAAAAGAGAATATAAATTAGAATCTCACCTTGAATGGCTTGAACACTGAAGACCAAATACAGATACAGCAGCAGGATGAAAATCTCTTTCATGTTCTTGCTGTCCTTGAATTTGAGAGTTTTCATTGCCCACTGGCTACTCTCTTGCCCTGCTTACTGTGGAGCTGTTTGTTTCCGTTTCACATAAAGAGAAGTAAAACTGAATAAGGGAACTTCTTTAAGATCATGTTGCAGTGACATTCAGGAAGAACTTCAACTAAGCATGTCACTATTGGACACGAAATGAGTACACAGAAGCTTAATAAGTTTAAAAGAGAAAAAGACACAGCTTTATTCAAACATTTGGTATTTATAGAATTCTAAAGGTGACTGTGGATTGGAGGATGGAATTACCGCTTCTCCAACCACACTGGTCTAAAGATTAATTAATCATTTCTCTCTACCCACAGAGAAATATGTAAACTATTCTGTTTATACATGAAATTGTGTGAGAACTTTGACTCTTAAATATGTAAACATTATTAGATGGCTAAAGAAGTTTTATGAGCACTTTAAAACTTTCAAAATAACTATAAAAGAAAACTTAACACTTTTATAAATCAGGGCAACACAAGCATTTCTTGTAGGACAAAATTGAAGTCTTCTCATTGTGTGTTGCAATGCAAGCAAAGAATGAAGTAAATGTACATTTCTAAGGAAGTGCAGGGATTCAGACAGCTGAGTAGCAACAAGAAAAAAATCATAATTTGTGATGAGAACTCATCCTTAAAATTAATTCCATTCTTCTAATCTTTATGCCTAAAGCCTTCCTAATGAACCACAACAGTGGTTAATTTCCTTAAAAATAGGATCTCAACAGCACAATTCCTAGGAGCTATAGTGGTTGGATCTCCATATTCACTCACTTTGAGAATTTCCTTCAACATACTACTTTTCTCAGTGCCCCCCAAACAAGCTGCAAATTGTAGACATACTACCAAAGAAATTAAACTTCCTTGGACTGGAAACAGCTGGCTGAGTCCTTGAATAATCATTGCAGCTAAGGAATCCCTCAATAACTCACAAGTTCTTGTATGAGAGCAGACTCCTCCATTATGCTTCCCCCAGAAAGGAAGCCATTTCCTTACCTGAATCCAGGGGTGTCTGTGAGGCAGATGATTCAACCTGCTGGGTGACTCTCCCTGCCCAGCACCACCCCCCAGCACCAGAATCCTCTGATGGAGATGCCAGCAAACCCACACTTGCCTAGAACTGAAGACAGAAGTATAAACCAACCACAGGATTTTCTTGGCAAGTAAGTCCTCAAAATAACTACTACATCTTTTGTGAACCTCAAATGCCACTTCCAGAGAAGCTGACACCGCCCTTTCAAGGAAAGTCTGTAAAACTGTACAAAATAGGAAGCCTGTACTTCCTATTTAAGCCCCCAAAGCACGCACTTAGATGGGACTGCTGGGTTAACTGGGAAGGGGGGGAAAGGAAGTTTGTCATTGCCAATCTGTGTGTTAGCAATTACCAGGTCACGAGACATATGTATTTTAAGAAAGATACAGGACTGACTGAAGCAGATACAAGAAAGATGAAGAAAGAATTTTCTGTTTTTCACTCCAGTGGTGTTTCTTGCTTTGCTCTAGACTAAACAATCTTCATGGCAGGGATCCCTCTTGTTTGTACTGTACTTTTGTTTGTACATCTGTACTGGGGGAGAGTGAACTACTTTTATCTCTGGAAGTCTTTATTTTTAGTAATATTTCTAAGTTTTACCAATTTTAACAACAATTAATAATAAATTGTCAGTACTATAGTATATAGAGTAAACAAAAGAAAACTGATGAGAATAGTTGATATGAAGTTATTCTACATCCAAGGCTGCCTGATCTCTTAATCCAACTATAAAACTAAGCCCAGCAGCCTTCAAAAATAAACCTTAGGAAAGTTAGGCAGCCATAAGTGAGAGACATGCTCAGGTTTGTGTTCTCAGGAATAAACTATGGAGGCTCATATGCATCCCCAGATACAGAGTATAACCGGCAGAGTCTGTCTGTCCTGCACTGCTACTCCTCATCTCAGTCCCCATGGTACTGACCAAAACCACAGTCAGCACAGTTATTCTCTCATCAGAACTGCATCAATAAACAAGCAAAAAACCCCTGAAAAACTATCATGTGAATAAGGGAAACATGCAAAGAAAGACCGAGAACATGGAGAATATCTGGGGTAACTGTGTGTGAGAAGGTGTCCATATAAAACCTGCAAACAATTAGGGGAATATGTAACTTGGATGGATGGGAAGAATTTATTTTGCATTGCAGTTTAAAGGCAGAGGGGGATCATCCTGCCCTTATCTTCAAAGGCCAATGTCTTTATGTTCTTCCAGCACCCTTATAAAAGAGATCAGTTGTTTCCTAGTAGACATTTCCCCCCCCCCCCCCCCCCTTTCCTTTCTCATTGACGATGCTCCTCCATTTTGAGAGATACATGCTGAGATGCTGATTACATCACAGGATCTGGCTGTCAGTGAAAATCTGTGAGTGCCACTTGCTCTGTTGAACTCCAGGAATAAGTAACAAAGAATCCTGCACACCAGAAATTTTGCAGTCCATACATACTGTTATGTTTCAAACTTAGAATGCATTTTCTTACATATCACCACATGTAATACCACTGACACAATCATTGCTGTTTCTTCATCTCCTTTCTAAACTGCATTGCTATAATGTCTCTGAAGCAGGAAGTTACATTTTGTAATACTTAAGTAAAATAAAGTCAAGAAGCTCTCCCCCCCCCAAAAAAAAACACTTTTAAATAAAAATTTATGAACTAATATTTAGCTTTATTTGTTGAAGAATCTGATACAGTAATTTTTGTTAGTTCTACGTTTAAATGCAGTGTCAGAAAGCAGAAGATAGAGAAGAAACTGCTGTTTGAGTAGATATCCTACACATTTTCCCAGAACATGAAAATAAGTAGCTTGTACAATTATACAAAGGTCTATAAGGAACACCACAGCCGTACTAGGTTTGAGTCACAGAATTCAATATACTGGTCAGTGGAAAAGAAGAAAGCTAAGATGGGCTGCAATTTCTTCACTGAAATAAAAAAAAGTTTTCTTGATGCTCCAAGGACAAACTCTGAATGCCCAGTCAGACTCCAACATGAGAGAAATAATTACACAATGGCCCACAAACCTTCAGATCAGCAAATGAAGAGAAATTTATGGGAGTCTAGAGGAAAAACAAAAGCTTATGAAGACATTCTGGACAAATAACTAGCCTTGGGAATGAGAACAGAAACGAGAGCAGGTCTAAGGGCTCAGGAGACATCTATTGCAGGCTAACACTGACTTGCTTTGTAAACATGGCCTGTGATTTTATTTCTCTATTCCTCACTTTCTCTTGTCTCTGTGTAGATGTCTGTATTGCAGATGTGTGCTAAAAAGCTGAAGTTAACTAAGTACAGATTTTACACTGAAAGGTAATATATCACTAAAAATTACTCATTTCAAGGACACTTCAAAGACATGTTGAAGGAAACTGCCTGCAGAGAGGGATCTCTATATAGAGATCTATATAACACTTACATTGCTCCTACTGTTTGAGTAGCACCTGTTCCTGGACTAGTGTTGTAGACACCCAAGTCATCTTTGTGAGTGATGTGCAACTTCCAAGGGAAAAAGTGCTTCTCAGAGGGACTTCCTCTGCTCTGAGACACCATGAGTTCAACATCCTGGTCAGAGAGCAAGCGGATCAGATCACCATCAGGGTCCCGGTAATTCAAAACAATGTCATCTTGGTTAAACTCCTGCCTGGGAGAAAAGAAATGGATTGATACCCAGAAATCAAGGAATGCCTGGGAGGTGCTACATGATGAACAATATACTGACAATCTAATTAATTTTGATAAAAGTCACACAAAGCCTTGGGTGTCTTGGCTTTCTTGATACAGCTAGTACTAGAAATCATATAGCCACATTCATGCTGTGTTGTGTTTAAGATAAGAAATCTACCAGAACAAAGAACATTCCCAGTAACACCACATAAGTGGCGCAGTTAAGATGTGTGCTTGATAGAATTACCATGCAAAAGAGCTGACTGTGGTTACCACCCAGTTTTGCCTACTTATTTTTGCTCTTTCTGAGGAGTGTAAGAATATTAGAACAGGTGTTCTATTACCAATATTTTGTAATAGTTAATGTTCTAAATTGTTGATGTTCCACACCAGATGTGTTAGAAGGCCATGTCCTACATCCTGAAGAAATGTACTAGACAAGAGATGCTTTTATGAGGGTATGGTTCTTATCATAGTACAAGAAATGGAAATTTCTACCCATGACAATTGAGTCAGAAGAGTGTGTCTGTCCTTACTCATTGACAACCTCAAGAAGGACTAGTGTCTGCACACATGGCCCTGGGCCAAGTCAAAGTGTAACTTCTTCAAGACACTTGAAAAGTATTTCATACACAAAGCATGGTGGTGACCAAGTACAGTGTGGAAAATCTCAAAACAGAATGAACTTGACAAATGTTTAAGTATCAAATATACAACCAAGTGTTTGCATTGTACCTCATCAATTCCATTAGATCTTTGAATAATGGAATGCTGTTCAGATCCTCTTCCACTGAAATATCCCTGTATTTAGAACACATCTAATCATTACATATCATGACAAGAGAATTGTTGGTATTTCTTCAGCAAACTTGAAGATTATTTTGTTACTACCTGATGGTGCTCACAGTCTCATCATAGTAATAACAGCGAACTTTATTAACTGTGTCTTCCTGCTGTGGTAAATCTTTTATGATCTTCACAAAAGCACATGGGAAAATCCCAGTGGCACCATCAGCAGTTCCCTGGAATGATAGGAAATGTTAGAATAAAGAAAACCATGCCATTTTGGCCAAATGAAATGGGTTCTAGAATTCAATTAATTTACATAGAAACAACAATAAGAATTTTTCCACTATAATCAAGAAAAGAAATTCTATGGAAGTGACCTGATGGCATCCCTACAAAAAGGTTATACAATTACATAGTCAAATACCAGGCAGGGGAGTGAAGCAGTGTGTAAAAAATGCAAGTCAGATGGTTAGCAAGGAAGGCTGTGGTGTTTGAGCAAGCAGAGATACCATATCAGCAAACACACAGTATGTTCCCCTCATCCTTTTTTCAGAACACTGCTGCATTACCCAAGTTCTCTCTAATCAGGCTGACGTGTGTTGTGGTATGAAGCATGAAGCATACATCAACCCACCCTGAGGCAAGAAACCAATTAATCGCTGAAATGGAGTTTCCATCTCCTTTCTGTGGCCTTTCTGTGTTCTAATCACTTCCAAAGAATTTAAAACATTCCAGCAGAAGCAAATGCAAATGAAAACAGAAGTCTGGAGGGCAGAAAATTTGTAAGCTAAAAACCATCAAGGAACCAAACAATTACTAATTTGGAATCAAGGATTTAGTCTTGACAGCAAGATCTGATTACAATACAGTTTCTCCTTGAAAGGAAGAGGCAGGTCACAAGGATCAGGAGAGCCCTTTCTACTCACATATTTCAAGGTATGCTAATAATTCAGTACTGCTATTGCAGTCTTACCTCCAACCAGTCTTTGTTTACTTTGCTGAGTAGATAGATCAAATCTCCCTTCTTGAATCTGAGTTCCAGTTTATTGGTTCCAGGAAAATCAAATAGCGCCTGTGGAAAGTAATAACCTTGAAATTATTAATTCACAGAATTATGAAAGCAAATCTTTCTGCTGTGCTCTTGAGGAGAAAGCATAAAACAGCAAGACAGTGTGCATTTTGTCATCACACATGTATTTCTGGGATAAGGTCGCATATATTTGACCGTAGTCTGCAGTTCTCACAATCTCTTCTCCTACTCAGCGCACACAAAACTGCTTTGAAGAAGCAGTGAAAGCACTAGGATAAACATGGCCCTGAGAGAGCTACATACAAGGATTCTTAAAGTGGCAGAACACTGAGCACCAGAGAAATCAATATACATAAGTTGAAAGCACTAAAGAGCAAGTAAGACAACAGAGCTGAAGCCAACTGACAGCTTGAAATCCTGAGAATTGAAAAATGTATTATTTCTTGTTGCAGCTTTATGGCTTTTAGATTTGCTGCAAAATATCACAAAGAGCCTTAAAAATTGCAGAAATGTTGTGTCTTAATTTAAGGGTAACTAACTGTTGCTTTAACATCTAGCTTTCAGGTCTGGGTGCTGAACTGGGAAATGTGGGAAAGCTTGGGAAATTGACATGTTGCTGAAATGGAACTTAGATGTCCTATTCAGGGGAAAAAAAAAAAAAAAAAAAGGTAAATACATGCTTATCGCCCTAACAAAAGTTTGGATCGTTAGAATGGCTGAGATATCAAAAATGCACATCTCCTCCATTGTCCTTAGAGAACATGGTCCCCATTCAAATGGTCTTAGAAGACCAAAAATGAAAAGATGTTCTTTATTCTGTGTTGCAATGGTTCTTTTGGTCTTATTAATGTCAAGAATCCTCTTAATTAAAAAACAAACAAACAAACAAAACAATGCTACTGTTGTGCTTGTGGTTCAGATGTCTACTTAATAGCCCTTTCAAAAGCCTTTTTTCACCTATTGAAAAGTTCTGGTAGGTATATTCAATACTAATAAATTAATAGATAAAACCCAAGAGATATGACTGTTCCAAGAGCTGTCATTCTCTGTGTAAAGAACAAAAGCAACAAACCTCAAAGCAGATGCATGGGGATTTTAATCTTATATGGCGAAGTCACATGTTTCAGGAAGCAAGACTCTGCTCAGATAAATACTGATTACAAAGCAGTCTCGTGTGTTTAATAGTGAGAAAATATACCACAAAAGACAAGAGAATGGGCATTTATGTTACGGAAAATACTAAGGTGCCTCACCTGCAAAGCTTTTAAACATATGCTGAAGTCAATGAAGCTGAAGCTTATGCCTGTTTTAGATTTTACTTAGGGGTAGCACTATGCAAATGTGAACCATTTGACAGTAAGCTGCACATATCTCGGTTTTGAATCTCCTGTCATTCTGATTTCACCATGGACCTTCTTATTACTCAAGTGATGAGGAACAAAACACCTCTTTCCATCCCTTGTTTCAATCCCTGTTGTTAAAATCAATTGTTTTCCTCTGTTGATTTCACTCTCTTCCCCCAAGCTCTAATCAAAAACAGCAACCTGATGGATGAGTTACCAAAATAAAACACTATCACCTCCTGTCCTATGCCAGGTTGTGCAGAGTACTCACCTCAGCCCGTGGAGCTGCAGTGCGGTCAAAAACAGGCACTTGATCTGAAATGCTCTTACTGCAAAGATATGAGACAACAGGGAGTTAAACATCCTTCCAAGTCATTAAAAATGCTACACAATCAGTACTGCAGTGTCTGTGTTTTTACTGTTTAAGGGCATGTAAGCCACAGATCACTGGAGAAACTGCACAAGAATCTGTGTGCAGCACTCAAGTAAATAAATATGGATGCAACAACACTGTCCTAGTTCTCTCGGTTTCAGTGCAGAGCAGCAGCAATCTGATGGTGTCTGCTGCTGAGAACAGATGGACTTTTCAATACAGTCAGTATTCTGGACCTCTCTTCCACAGCACTACTTAGTCCCCCTACTCTGCCTTCTGGGCATCATTGTTTCTAGCATTTATGGCATTTAGTTCAAACTCTGCCATGCAGTTTTTGCACTGTTTGAGGTAGGTGAAAAGGAAGCGAGTCCATCTGTGGAATGCTGAAAGGAGAATTAATTTATCTGAAGGGTAATGAAGTATGATGTCTACTTAGTTCTCCAAAGGGGTGTCAACACTGCTATGCAGGACAGGCCCCTGTTTAGACAAAGGATGGGAACAAATCAAGTATTCCGTTTCATTTAGTGTCTGAAGCAGATCTCACTGAACTCAGTGCCAAAACTCACATTGACTTCAGTGGTGCAGGCTTATGTCCTTAAGCTTAGGCTGTATATTCTGCATACTTTAGTGATTACCATTAAAGAAATATGGGCAGATAGACCTGGACAGTATTTTTAAAAAGCAAGGTATACTCTCATTTTGGAATTTTCCTTTAATGCAAGTACCACATCCACTTTAAAAATCTGAGATTACTGAAAATGAGAAATACTCTTCAAAGACCTTCATATTAGGGATTCATGGATTCACTTGGAAAACAAAGTGGTGATCCTCATCTCTCTCTCCCCTCAAAACTGGACAGCATCCCTTACATTAAGCAATGCTGAAAAAAACATGTCAATCACTTACACTCGGCGTGTCCGTGGGCGAAGCCGTCTCAGTCTGTGAGGCACCTGCTCACCATCAAAGGTTGAGTGGTAGAAGAACAGCCGAACGTCCTCATCCATCAACACCCAAGCAGGGAGGCAGAGCAGGTTCTGTGCCAAGAGCAAGCAGGAAGCAGATCGTAGCAGTGGGAGAGACCAATTCTCTATTTACTTACATGTAACAAATACACCTCTCTGACCTACGGGATCATGAAGGATATTCATTACTGCCAGAAATCTCCCTCCTCTCCTTTCTCACTCAGCAGGACACAGCTGAACAGCTGACAGTCTCTCCTCTTTACTCCTGGAGTTGGCCAATGTATTGCTTCACTTTTTGTACCTGATTTACTGCAGGAGTAATTTGCTTTTTGTTTTTCTTTTCAGAACATGAATGACTGTGGAAAGAAGACATTCTGAAGTACTAGGAAGTCTTGGCCAGTGCTTCAGACTTTTACTGATTTGAAGTTCAGGTCTTCAGTTAACATGCAAACAAAGAATATCTCTCCTTGATGTATGCTGCATCTTCACTGTAATTCAGCTACTCTCAGAAAGCCCACCTGTCCTGATTCTGGCTGTGAGAGAGTAATTTTTCTTCTAAATAGCTGATACAGTGCTGTGTGTTGGATTTAGCATGAGAATAATGTTGATAACACATAGATGTTTTAGTTGTTTCTAACTAGTGGCTTACTTAGTCTAAGCCAAGGGCCTTTCTGTTTCCTAAGTCCTGCCAGTGAGGAGCTGCACAAGAAGTAAGGAGGGAGCATGGCCAGGCCAGTTGGTCCAAACTAGCCAAAGGGATATTCCATGCCATAGAATATCATGCCCAGTATGTAACTGGAGGGAGCTGCCCAGGAGCCACAGATCACTGCTCAGCGGACTGGCTGGGCATCGGTCAGCAGGTGGTGAGCAATTGTATTGTGCATCATTTGTTTGTTTTCCTTTTTAGTTTTATTTCTTTGTCTTTTTGGCTACCTCCCTTCTAATTACAATTATTTATTAGTATTATATTTTACTTTATTTCAATTATTAAACTGCTCTTATCTCAACCCATGGGTTTTACAGTATCCAGTTATCCTCTCCATTCCATTGGGGAGGAGGGAGTGAGCAAGAGGCTGCGTGGCACTTTGATGATGGTGGGGTTAAAGCACAACCCACACACCATTCTCCTAATCCCTTGGGTGCACACACCAACTCTGTATTCATGCAACACCTGGAGATTCACCATTTCCTCATCTTGGGGGGGTTTTGGTAAGGATGTCTATTTGTATATGAAGACAGAGTGAGCCTTTGTGAACTGCATGCTCCAGCAGACCCTACAGTCTGAACAATCTGGGGAAGAGGACTCCAGGTTGTACCACAGTGTGGGCACTGTGTCTTCAGGAAAGCAGAACAGAGAGAAGCACATGCTTAGAACTGTAACAGTACTGTCTGTCTTGGCTGATTTCAATGGCTAAGTGCATTCTTTACTTCAAAATTAAGTTTTACCTTCATGTAGACATTTAGGATAGGAATCCTGTTCTCAGCAATTTCCTTTTTGGCACCAACAAAAACTTTTCCTGGAAAATATAAAACCTGTGACAGTTATTGAAAAAACAAACAAACAAAAAAAAAAACAAAAAAACAACAAAAAAAAAAAAGAAACTGTCAGAGAAATGAAGCAATCATGAGGAAGTAGAAGCTCCAAAAAATTTACATATTTTCTAAAGGATTTTATGTTCCTAAATGAACTTTACCACAAGTGAAGGGACTGTCAATGAAACATGGCTTCTCTGGCATTCATAACCAGGAATTAGTTCCTTGTCACAACTACTTCTCTCGTTGCATTCCTCTTTAGGACAGCCTGGGGCTGAGAAAGCTGCTAATTATGCAACGATTTGGTACTGACAGCTTACCTGGCAGTACAGGGAGTGTGCAGGTAAATGGGCTGTTATTGCTCTCTGGCCCATATCTCTGCTCTAGTTTGGTGTGCAGGGCATAGAACTCACGATAGCGCCGGAAAATCAGGTATCTGCCACCACCTTTAAGCTTTACTTCAATGACAAACATCTGAAACAGAAAAGAGGGATTCAGGCTGATGTTCATACTTATAAATACTCACAAATGTGAGTGAGGTATAAAATAGGAACATAAGATCAGTGCTCCATTAGTGGGAAAATCTCTTAGGAGCAGAGAGGAAAGCAAGCCTTCAGTTAAGCATCTGCAAATTCAGGCACTAGGATATAACAAGGTAGCACCAGTATAGTATTTGTGTGGGTCCTTGCATGTAAAGCATGTCCCTGTGCCTGCTTTATATTATATAATCTTAAAAGAAAACATGAAATTACTAGATTCAACTTTATGCTCACCCACTTTACCTCGGTGACATGCAAGATACATTAGGGAGACAAATACAAATATTTTACAATAAGATGCTTTGGACATCTAAATCTAGAGACAGACAGACATCTAAATTAATTGATTTTCAGAATTGAAGGCAGTCATACTTCTTTTTTGACTTTAATGAACATAATTGTAGAAATTATTGTCTGACATCCTTCAACCACTATTTTATTTCTCTTTTGACAAAATTGCTTTGCTCTAAAGGAACCTAAAATTTCCATGCACTGACCTCTGAGTCACATTGGAGCCAGATCCTTCAGAAAATATAAAGACAGAGCAACCAAACATCACTCTATTCCAGAGAAAAACCTAAATACTGCAGTGGGAAGGATTTTATGAGCAATGTCTCCAGCAGAAGTCAGACTGAGATGGTCATATTCAAACCTTCAGAAAATCTTAGTGCCTTTCCCTACTGTTCCCTTCCTGTGTGCTCTTTTGTGTCCTAATATGCTACCTCCTGTGAAAATAGGAGCATCCTAACTTGCCAGTACAACGGAATAATAAGTAAGACTCTGCCTTTCTACCCTCTGAATTCTTTCCCACTATTTTCACCAATGGTAGATCACTCCAACAAGAAACAAATCAGATATTAGGAAAAATTATGATGTTAGAGGGTATGTCCTACATTTCATTCAGAAAATAAATTTTTAGACTGAATCTGGGATAACTATACTCCATTCCAGAAAAATAAAGCACGGAGAAGTCTGCCATATGGAACTACTCATGCCAAAAAGCAATTACACCAGATTTACTGCATTTTGCTTCCCACAACCAAACCAGTCACAGGTGAAGGCATATAGAGGCAGGATAAATCTCCCTTCTTACATAGTAATTAGTAAAGCCTTTCTTCTCTTCTATATCTGCAATATTAGCTGAAACAGGTACATCATCTGGAAGCTGGTCAAAATCACTGTGAAGCAAGAACAGAAGATTTAGGTTACTCATATTGGTAATAACCTTTGAGGTACCCTATGCCACACAGAGCAAAGATAGGCTATATCACATTTTCTAGTATCAAAACCAAGATGTTAGAAACTCATGGTGCCATTCTCTTCCTCTAGAGGTCTGATCTTGAGATGTCAAGTTTCAATAGGTTCAGCACAAGTAGTGACCATTGAGAAGATTCATTATGCCTGAAAAACACCCTTTTCATTCCTAGGCTTGCTTGAGGAACAGGACTACAAAACAAATACTTGAATTGCTAAGCTTTTCCTGAGAAATGTGATCATCTGTGGATGCATTGTTAATCCTTCTTTAATCTAGGAGATTTACAAACAGAACTCTGCATCAGTAGATCCTATTCTAAGGAGATCATTATACATCATTATACATTATGCTGCTATTATTACTGCATTACTGTAGGGAATAGGAAATAGTTCTGAGAAAACAGCTTGTTATGCAAGGTGCTGTAGAAACTGGCAGCACAAAGCTAAATCCTAAAAACTTTATACTCTATGCAAGATGTGTAAAATGTACCACATACATATAAGAAAACAAACAACCGGATAAGCACAAACAGAAAAAGAACAAAGAAACAAAAGCATAGTATTGTTTTATATCAAAACTAGTGGTATCTACACTAGCTGTCAAAATGTTGTCAAGTTTTCTTGTAAACATCACATAAAGCAAATTCTTAAAGAGGCTTGGAAAAATAAGACTAGACTATCACAGATTTAGAGACCTCCCAGTCACAGCAGGTAAGATTCATCACAGAATCACAGAATATTTGGAGTTGGAAGGGACCCACAAAGGTCATCAAGTACAACTTTTAATGAATGGCCCCCACGGGTATTGAACCTACGGCCTTGGCATTTATCTCCCAGTCACAGCAGGTAACCTAAAGCAAGCACAAAGTTGTTTGAAAATGTCAACAATGTGTGAAGGAACACATGGTAGTAGGCAAGGTTAGAATAAGCTTTGCAGATCCTAGAAAGAATTGGATTTGAAGTGAGAAGGAAGGATCCCTGCAGGAACACCTAATGAGCAGCCATATGACCACAGTCACGTTACTGGTCTATACTGCCCTCACTACAAAAGAGATTGGATTGGCAGGTGCTTTTTCCTCTATGACCTTCTCCTTGGTGCTTTGACAAGCAGCAGACAAATTCACCTTTGCTTCAGTCTTATAACTCAGTGTTGTCAGAGGGGTATTTATACTAACACCTGAGTAAAAAGAATATAAAATGAGGAAAAAAGAATAACAAATGAGATAAAGAGAGATTTTCTGAAGGATCATCTAAGAAATGCCAAGCTGACAAAATGTTAAATATTCTGATAATACAAAAAAAAAAAAAAAAAAAAAAAAAAAAACCAAAAAACAACAACAACAAAACAAAACACCAAACCAAACTGGTAGTTTTCTCAGTTTATTCTGCAAAGGAAGGTCCCAAGCAGGGGCTTCCACAAAGGCGTAGCCCATTTGAAATGCTGAAGTAATGATGCAACATCTTGCAATAGTTTGCTGTACAAGGAAAATGCCATGAATCAGCACCACCCACGATACTGTAAGCACTACCCCTTACTGTGAAGAGGGATGTGGCTATGGAGACCAAGAGATATACTTAGTCATATCACAAACACTCATATCATAAACTCCAGTAAAAGGGAAACTTGTTTTGCAGCTATAAGGAGGACAATGACCCAATGTGTCCTAGGTCATGAATATTCCCCACAAAAAGGAGAAAGTCCACTCCAGCATAAGAAATAATGGTCTGCTCGACCCTAAGCAGCCTAATAGTATGGAAGATACACACTGTTCTGATAACAAGAAGCCTTTTAGAATCATCAAAGATGCTTGCATCCAAATCAACCAAACAGATCACAGGAGTTATGTGAGGCTTGTGGGGAGGCAGGAGCAGGGAGAGACACGTTACCTCTTGTCTCGCAGCTGTCGGGGAAGAGACATAGTTCTTCTTGAATCCAGATGACTAAGATCTATTCCTCTACTTCTTGAGCAGTTCCTGGTTTAATAGGATGAACACAAAGTCAGAGTAATTCTCCCTGCATTAAACAAAACTCCTTTGCAAGGCCTCAGAGATCTTTTTTTAATGTTTCAGTGTCAGACGATTTCTGCTGTACCTCCACACCCCCACGAGTTTGAGGAAGTACCAGGGGAAAACAGTAATAAAGAGAGACTGTTCTGTGATGTCTGTCATGTCTCAAAACTGACACAACTGAGAAACTGAAAGCCCAAAAAAAGACAGAAACTATGAGCCACATATTCCTTTGTCCACCCTCCACTGAAATATTTGCCTTTGTTGAAAGCCAGTATGGGAGTGCTCAGCAAAGTCTGTTGTGCCTCAGTTAAAATGTCCCCATATATACCTTTGCATTAATATTTGTAAACTAGGATGAATACTCCTGATCCCTTCTTGAAGCTTTGTGATTCCCAAGGATCCTCCTTTTCAGAGACCAAGAGCCAGGAGGTGGAGCTAAAGAATAAATTTTTAAATGGGAGCAGAACGTATAATCAGAAAAATCAGCCTTGTCGAACACCAGGACATCGGGCACAGGAGATGAGATTTGAAGGGTGGAACAATGAAAGTAAGACAGGAGTCCTTTAAAGGACAGAGATCTTTTTGGCTTCATGTGCTCAACACAACCCACATTTGCCACATACAAAGACAAGGTAATGGCTGGTCCTGGCTTTTACTCTAACTGTAGTGACAAAGCATTTATATGACATCAGTTGACAATCTTTCAAGAAGAAAATAAAAGGAAGAAAACTATGAGGAAACCATGATTTCTTAACAATATGGCTAAGCTGTAACACAGCTTATCTGTCTTAATCAAAAACGGTTATGTACATTCTTGCCTCTCCATTTCAGTCTTTTACTCTCCTCCATTTTTGTGTTCCACATATATTTGCCTCCTTCTCCTCCTTCCGTTGCCAAGAACAAAAATTCCCATCTGAATGGAGCAAAAATCAACCAGCATACTTCAAAATAAAACTCTATTTACAACTGTAATCATCAGCCTTGAAAGCAACTGCATTGCATTGCATTTTAATGAAGTAAATCCTTCACCCAGCTCCTTTCCATGGATAACTCTAGGCACCATAATAGAATTTGAGAGGGGATATAGTGTCTCTTAATCAGAAGGGACCAGGAGAACAAAATTCTGAACTGTATTTTCTAAGTGATCTGCTACTTTGTACATATCATAGCTTTGACAAGAAAATCATAGAAAGCGTATCCTAATTTTTTCAAATATCCCGAAAGATAATCTAGATATAATGTAGGTACATCTTTTAATAGACACAATGCAAAAATACGTGTTCATTGTTTATCTAGGGAAGTGGCTTCTTTAAAACAAATCCACAGAAACTCTCAGACAAACTGTCTATGCAACTGCTTTGCTGTAAGATGAGTAAAGCAAACTGAAAGCACCTCAATTCCACTACTCTTGACTAGAGAATACAGCCAGTAATAATACTAACCTGACAGAATAATGCTAAACCTACTAAGAATGTTTATGGTTCTGCAGTATTTTCTTGTTCTGAGCTCAACCAGAAAGAAGGCTTGCTTTTCTAACAAAAGGCAGATTTTTACCTTAGGTGAGTGGATAGCTGATTTGTTAGAGGGATTACCAAGGCTGTGAGACTAAGATTAGAAACACTGTTTTGCTATGTTCTTCTGTGCTATATCAGTGCCTCAACTACCACTTGTTTTCTTTCCATTTCTATTATTGTGCTACTATAGCAGAAATAACAATTTCTATTATTTGGGCTGAGAAATTAGGCTATCTCTAATAAAATACACATCCTTTCTCTGTTTAAATAATTATTTCATGAATGAAATAAATATCCATTACAAAACTGATATCCTAAGAGTACCTATGTCAAGAGATATGCCTGCACTAGGAAAGTACCCAATTTCATCAGCTGACATGGCCAGCTCTCAGTTTTGAGAAAACCCATCCACACACTATGGCTGGCATGGTCATTGTGGTGCTATGCACCAACCCAAATACACGTGCAAGAGAAAGCAGGAATTCATCCAAGTGCAAGGAATACAAAACAAATACTGGTTCATTAAAGGAGACTACTAAGAGAATCCTCAGATGACTGAATCATGACCATATGCTGCCACTATATGCCTCTTCACAGTTCAAAATCTACTCTATTATTCTGGACATGCCTGTGAGCTGTGAAACTGTGGCCTTCTGTCCAATGCACCTGTTGTTAGAAAACACATGTACAAGGATACACAGAGCCCTGGAAATCTGACAGTATCAGCTAGACCCAAACAACCAAAGCGAGTGAGGAATTTTAATGAAAAATAGGAATGTAGTCCCAAATCACTAGAGATAGATGAACCACTAATAAAAGGTAAACCAAAAAATGTAGCAGAAATATTCAGCTGACTCAAGTTTGGGTGACAGCACTACATACCACGTCTGCTAGGCCAGCAGCAACTGTACCATTCAGCATGTCTCTATGGAATAATGGCTTCTCTCTGATGCACCTGATATTACAAAAATGCTGTGCAGTTATGCTTAATCACCATAGAATAAATATTTTAAGTGATTGGAGGAAATGAACAAGAATGATATTGTTAAAAGATGTCTGACCTCATCACAGGAAATAACATTTAGCCATAACTGCAATGAATCTGAACATCAAATAGAAACACATATGGCAGAGTTGGCTTGCAAGATACTTTCATTCAAACTATTGTTTTCAAAGGATATGTGGAATATTTGATTCTGTAGCATACACATCATTAGCAGTTGGATGCCCTGACTCCTGCGGTTGCTTGAGACTGAGCTACAACTGTAATAACACTGATTTGGGAAGTGTTTGGGGATCTTTTCCATTTTCCTTTAATAATACTTGTACAGACCACCAGCTTTACAGAATATTTTAATAGACTTTTACAATACTTGTTTTCAAAAACAGCCATGTACAAACTAGCAATTATTTTTATTACAGCACATGAATAATTTATTAAAATTTTATAAAATTTCTGGACAAAAGTTACATTAGATAAGCTATTAATGTCTGTCCTGAAATCTTGGAGCTCTTTTGTAGCAGGTAGTGCTACAAAATCCTTAGGAGGCAGTTGGCACAATGGTAAGTAATAAGACTGTTTCTTTCCTATATGCTTTCAGGACAGTTGGGGAAAAAAAACCCATTTAAAAAAAAAAAAAAGTTGAAGTTGTCCTATCTTTCTGAACTGACCTTGAAACTTTGAAAAAAAAACCCAAGGAGGGCATAAGTTGAGAGTTGAGCTAATTGGTTTTGTATTCTTCATTTGATAACAGTTCAATTCATAGTGCCTGAATGTATGGATGTTCTCCCTGTCATGCATTGTGTTGGGATTTAAAAAGCCACAGGAGTATGGATTGATAGAATTTGGAAATGTGCTTGGAATTAAATCTGGACACTGTTTCCATTATTGCTTTTTAGGGTGAAAAGTAGCTAATAGGTATTTGCAGAAAAAGACTCTTTTCATGCCCTGCTGATATAAACACAACTAAATAATCTATCTTGGACTGAAGAAATTTAAAGGTCAGCATCTACCACTGTTCCTGACAGTGATCTTAATGGTGTCATTTCCAGAATAAATTATAACTCAACATGGAAGAGGTTTACAGAACCAAATCTTAAAGAAAGAGCAGCATTTTTTTTAAAAAGTACATTCTTCTCAGAATATCAACTGAAATCATAAACCTGAATCCTGGCTTTTCCACCTCTACTGCCTGAGGAAAAAAAGGATCTCAGGAAAAAAAAAAATAAATGAAAAAGTGAGGTTTTTCTTTTGAAATTATCAGCTATTTTAGAAATATGCAATCAACAATGCCATTCTGAGATTTCATAGTTCATTATTCAATAGGTAGATCTCACCAGTGTTCTTATGCAGAGCAATATCACAAGCAGTATTATGATCTTCCTCTCAGCAGAAAATAATTCTTCTTTTAAAATAAACCTCCTTCCTTTTAAAAATATACAGGATTTCTTTCTGATAGAGTAAAATCATTAAGATTGGAAGAGTTAGAAGAAACTTCTTCATGAACAATGGACATTTTGTTCTTGCAGAGATAAGGTGCCCAGGACTAGACTAAGGGAGAAAAATGGTGCCCAGGACTAGAACTAAGTCAGAAACAGCAAGAGAACATTTCTTCATCCAGACCACATATCACTTCCTGGATAAAAGAGGTAAATAAGGAAGAAATAGGGCAGAGCTTGTCACTGGTATTGTGCATGACAGATGTGGGCTGGAGGTTGAGCCCTGTGCTCCAGTCAGCTTCTCCAATGTCATAGTCTGGTAACTGGCCATTGCAGACAAAGCAGAAGAGTTCCATTCAAGCACTCCTGAGAGAACTATACCTACAACCACCCCTCCAGAACTTTAAAACCTAGTTTTAGTGCACAGCAGCAGTGCACCTTTGTGGCAGGATGGTTTTCCTAAGTCTCCTAGTCATCTTTAGCATCAAAAATCTTGTGTGAGTGATTGCTACTCAAGGCAAAGAAAATTCTGTTTCATCTATTTCACAAGTTCAAAAGACCTGTTAAAATTACTCAAAAAAACTTCATGGAACTTCCCCAAATGGCAAAACAGGGTTGGGATTTGCTAAAATTTGTGCAGTGATACATTCAAATCAGCCTACACTGTTCCTAACAGTTTCATTTCCCCATCCATTTGAAGAAATCCTGTGACCAAATTCACTTTACCTTATTTAGAAACTTTAGGTAAGTGCCTGTAGTTAAGTGAAGTTTTCTGAAAAGTGAAGAGAGACAGGCACCACTGCCCAGTAACTAAGACCTCAAGTGGGCCAATTCTCCCTATGAAGGTTTTATCTGTCTCCTAGGAATATACATGAATTATGAAATGGCTATATTCCCAGTTTTGTCACCTCAGGTTTCTAAAGGTAAGGTAATAAATCTGTCCCTCACTGTGGACCTAGTTATTACTGGTAAAAAGGTACTTTCTCATTCGGGACTCAGCTATATTTGGATATGCACTTTTACACTGGTATAATTGTCTTTACCCTAGGGGAGTTGTACTACTTAAGATACACTGATATAGTCAAAGAAGCACAATTTTCTGGTGCAGAAATATCCAGTCTGCTCCTTACAGAGAGTTTATGGCTCATTTTCTAATGGTTCACAAACTGGGACAATATTCCTTAATAGAATCAGGGGGCAAGGGGGCTAGAGATTAGGATAGGCAGGCAAGTGGCAAATAGAGAGGCAATAAATAGCAAAGTCCAGGGATTTTCAAAGTTCTGTTCTGTCTATTCTTCACAACCTATACTTACAGCCTGCCTCACCTACTGGCCGTTTATTACCTCAGCCTTCATTTCTTGAAAGACAAACTCATGGAACGAATGTACCAATTAACATTTCAATAAGTAATTCAGTCTCAAATCAGTGGCTGAACTGTCCATTTCAAGTGTGGAGGGCTGGAGTTTATGTCTCTCATACCTCAATAGGCAGAAGGCTGCTTTGTTATGTGAAACTGGGTCTGAACATGAGACCTCTTAATTAACTGCCATACCAAGTTCAGCCACTGCCTTGCTGTGTGTAATTCCTTCTGCCTTAGTTTTGCCATTTGTAAAATAGGGCTGACTAAGACTTTTCTCATGAGGGGAGAAGTGAGAAGGAAAAATGCTCAGTAGAGGTATAATTCTTGGGGAAAATCAGGGAAAAAGTGTCAGATTACAACCATTATCCTTTGCAACCTACCTGCACTCAAAATCGCCTGCAGTGCAAAGAGAAAACAATATTAAAAGATTGCTCTTTTAAAATGTGACAGTAATCCTCTGATACCAGGCCTTAGGACAGATTCCCAAACCCTCAGAAAAGACTGTAGTGGTTAAACTATCACATATATCAAACAGCAGTAGCCAATAGGCCTGTCCTACTACAGAATGAACAAGGAAAGGAAATTAATAACTTTCTGCCCAGAGTGCTATTTAATCTTGGAATGCATCATCGTGCTTGTGGATTGCTTCAATAATCTGAGCCAAACAAAGTTACTGGAGAACTTTGAAATTGTGATTTCAAGAAATGAGTATACGGTAATGGTGACAACTTAGGAAATTCCCTGCCTTCACATACTCTTGCTTTTTTCCTGCCTCACAGGATGGTACATCTGAGCCTGTGCTGCAAAATACATCAGCTAACTAAGCCAGCTGTAAAAACACTTTTTAAGCCACAGATCAAATTTTCAGCCCAGCTCACAGCACAGACATCAACATGATGAGGAGAATGAATGGGGAGGAATACATTAAAAAAGCACTGCCTGATAACTTTGTCTTACAAAAGCATTCTGGTCTGACAACACAGTGAGTGCATGTGTGTACATGTACAGCCCCAAATAACTCATTTTGTCTCCTGACAATCTATCTCCTCACGCAGATATTAATGCAGCCTCTTTCACCCACATGCTTCAGGGAAATCTAACAGTGGTGTGGCAAGAACTTTACTACTTCTATGAGGTATGGAAGAAGCCAAAACACACCCCAAACCATTACCTTCGCTCTAATAGTTTTTCTGAATGAGACTGCAGCTACTGAGGTAGTACCTACAGAATACAGTTCTTGAGTAGCTGCTCCTCTCCACTTTAATGCCTTTGCCCTGTTTGCCATCACTTTACTCATTTGCCACCACTTTATTCATTTTTCCAGATTTCACTACAAACAACATGTACAAGCTGTTGCACGATGTGAATGCAGTGCCATAACTGTGGGTTTCTCATCAGGAATCATAACACAGGTAGGTGGAAAAGAGGGCAGAAAACCATATGGCAACAGCAGTTTTTCATGATTGAAAGTGTTTGCCTTGTGAAAAGGTAAAAAAGAAAACTTCAAAATAATGTAAAAGGAGGAAGTGAATGGTGGGGGGGGGAGAGTAAAAGTCAAACATGCCTGTGACTAAGACATACAATAAAATCTATTTACTATCAAAATAATTTGTAGTCCAAACAAGGTGGCAATGACACTCTCAGATATGTCTGCTGAAAAACAGTAAAAGGTAGAGGGGGATTGATGTCCTGTTCCAGTTCTTTCTGTTCCACATCTCGCCTCTTGAGTTCTGCTGAATGTGACATTTTTCCCTGGCACCTAATACACAGATCTCTGCTGCTAATTTTGTGCACAGAGTTCTCATGCTGTGTAATCTGAGGCCAGAGACTCCTCCAACAGCCTGCCAGACGGAGTGCACACCCTTCAACACTGCTTCTGCTGCAGAGAAAGGGGGGATAGGACAAGGAAATGAGCCAAACAAGAAACAAGAAACAAGCTTCCAGTCTTGTCCAAGATGTTTAGCCAATTTTTGGCTCTTAGATTTACCAGGGATCTATCCCCAGCTCCTCCTATCCAGTTTGTCAGAAGATGCATCCATTGGATTTGCCAGCAATTGCAAATACTTAAGATGTCAACTTAAGATGCATACTTTTCCTTTTTTTTTTTTTTTTTTTTCTTCTGTATTAGATCCTGTCTGGCTGCTCTAAAACTAAAGCAAGCTGTTGCCACGAGGGTCTTTCAGTACAGCCCTGAGAAGTAGTATAAAAACTTATTTCTGCAGTATTGTAATCAAGGATTTGAAAGACAATCTGTTTTCTCTTTCTCCCCACCTTGGTTAATATGTCTGCATGTCACAGAGATAGTCTGCACTGTAATACATTCTACTAAAATGAGAATGGTCAAGTAAACTTCAAAACATGGGCCAATGTGTTCAGTAGGGGATTGAACTGGATGAATTCCCATTAACTAACCAGAAACAAGTCTCCCCTCTTAGCTTCCAGTGCCTTTTAGTGGAATCATCACTTTCCACAGTATTGAATTACATCCATTTTCAATACTACTTACTTCTTGGTGCTGGTATTGCCAGAAGGAGAACACCCCACACCACTGTATTCTCTCCACTCCAATCTTCTTTCTCTTGACTGTATCAAAAACAGACAGTGAGGGAACTGCAGGATAAAAAGAAAAAAAATAAGAAAAAAAAAATTTAAAAAAATTTCCATAACAGAATTTCATCAGTAACTTCTTCTACTGTAAATACTTTATGTCCAAGCAAAATACTGCCTAAAGATTTCTTTGGATGGGACAGCATCATCCTCACTAATGCCTTTTCTCTGATAATTATTTTGACCAGAAGTATCAAGCCCAAACCTAGTCTGAAAAAAAAGAAAGTCTCTCAGGCCCTGCTGTACAGTGAGTGCTATGATAATCCACAGACCCATCTGAGACTAATTTAAATTTTTATTAGAATTTGAGAAGAGCTGAGACATCTCCTTCTGCTGTTCACCTGCAAAAGAGCATCATGATCTTTGACATCCAGAGAACTCTCTTTGAACTTTCTCTGCAGTTCATCTCATTGTGAAACAAGTGCCTCTGGAGAGAGAACAAGGGAGGGAAGGCGGAAGACGAACATAGTCCTTTATTCTGTATCTGGGAAGTCAGATAGACAAAAGATTACACATAAAAGTCAGATAACTTCATCTACTGATTTACTACAACCACTAACATGCTCCATGGAAGAAAAAGGACAGAATGAGAGAAAAAATAGGGACAATGCACAGCTGACAAAAAGAGTAACATAAACAGGGATGTATGGAAACAATCAAATGTAAGGAAAAATTGCAAAGAATCTATCTTTTCTCTAAAGAATTGTACTGCCTTTCTAAACTTGACCCACATGTGTCTGGCTAGCTAATATATGAGATGTGAAGCTGACCACCCAGAAGGCTGGCTATAAATTATATCTCTTAGATATGCCAATATGATTTACATTAGGAGATAGGAAGAGCAAACTGATGAATCTTGACCTTACTCACTGAGGAACTGCCTGTAATATACTCTGTTGGTACCTGAAAATCTGTAGATGCCCTGAGGTAGTAATATTCCTTGCCAAGACCTCTGCATCATAAAAGATAATAGATCAGAGCCTTTTTTCCAATGTCTGAGAGCGTGGCTGCCTAGCACAACTACAGTCTCAGATCCACAACATTTGCAATGTTGCTGACCAAGCTTTACTTAAATCCTTGCTTTTTCCTCTTCTTTCATACATCTTCATTGTTTAGCCATTATTTCTCTTTCTATACTTCCATTTCAGTCTGTTGGGGATTTTTGCAGTAGCGAAAGAGTAGCCAGTAGGTCAAGAGTAATTCTTTTTCTTGTCTAGTAAATGCTTATCAGGCTGTATCTGGAATACTGTGAGACTGTATCTGGAATACCATCACTAGTTTTGGACTCTCAAAAACAAGACAAATATTGACAGTCTGATAGAGTTCAACCAAGGACAAATAAGGCTGGAACATATGATATTCAAGGAAATGTTGCAGTAAATTACTTGGTTTAGCTTAGAAAAGACTGGGAGGGAGGTATAATTGTTACTCCAATTAAACAAAGTGAAATTAAAGATCAGACACAGCTAGATTCTTCTCCCAGGTAGACAATGAAAGGACAGGAGACAGAGAGTTGCACAAGCAAAAAATCTCAGTGGAGATAAAAAAAATAATTCAACATGACACTGGAACAAGGCCATAAAAAGACTGTGGGATCTCTGTCATGGGAAATGTGCAAATTTTGACTAGACAAGTTTAACATATCCTTAGTATTGGGTCATCTTTGAGCTATTCATTGCATACATGACATCTGGTGGACTCTTCTAACCTTACTTATTCTATGTTCAGATACCAGATGCTATCTTCAGACAACCAAAGCCTCCATCAGAGTTACTGGTCAGCCAAGACAATCTGCTTGACCTAAATTAAAATCTCTCAGGCATTTGGCAACCATGAACACATCAGACAGTCTATGATACAGTGCTATAAAATTAAATTTCTTGTATTAAAAAAAAAAGGAATGAGATTAAATTCACGTTTTCCTCAAATCAACACTTCTAAAATCATTACCTTTAATAACATCATAGTAAAATGTATTGATTCATATTCTCAGATTGGATTGAGAGAAAGTAGAAATCAACTGATCTCCATGCCTTGCTTATACTTCCTACCTCATTAATCTGCATATTATTTTCTCTTTGATCACCAACTTTTCCTGCCTCACCATTTTCCCCTGGAAATGGTGAAATTTTTCATCCCTCCCCAAGCCCATCTTCCTCCTCAACCTACTTTTCTCTTCACATAGCCTTTTATTTCCTTTATTGATCCCAACCTTTGTCCTTCTAGCCTTGAACCTCTGAGCTGGAAAATAATTCCTCAAGGCACCTCCCCTAAATAGCAGCTAATTATTTGGCTTTGGGCCTACACCTGCTTCGTCAGCTCTCTTGTCATCAAGTCTATCAAGCGTGTGAGGAAGCTTTGGAATGACCAAGAAACCTATAAACTGACCTGGTAATCCCAGGGAAAACCTGGTCTGCATTAGTGATACTTGTAAAATAATCAAGAGAGCTTGAGAGATGCGTAAAGTACGTTTGAGCAGCCTTCCTCAAATGTTGCTTGACACTTCAAGTATTCAGTGCTCCAAAAAGGGGGAGGAGGGAAATATGTGTGCCATGAAAATGAATAAAGAGACTAAAATTATGCACCACACAAGCACTAGCCCTGCACTAATTTTATAAGTAACTAATACATTTCTTTGGGCTTTCTTTTGCCTTAGTAGTTTGTCTCCCATTACCCTCGGTCTCTTTATTCTTGCTAATGCTGTGGCTTTTAGACATCAAGAGTCTTAGTATAAGAAATAAAACAGTTACAACATTCTCTATGCCTGGCATGCTGACACAGTGAAACAAAGGATGAAGAAACATTTACACAATTTGAAATTGGGCTCTTTCGGCTGTTAACTAGCGAGCAGTCAGAAAGGCTGCAGAGTTTTATAAATAGACCTGATTCAGAGAACAAGTATCACAGAAAATAACACTTTCACCACATAACTACATAACTCCAACTGGTATTTTAGAGAAATAACTTTAAAAGTCAGTAACATTTTGCTCTCAGTTAGAGAAAAGTTACTCTTCACATATTTTGAATGAAAGACATGGGGCTTACCAGTCCACCTACATCATCATGTAAATACACAAATGGTTTATGAATGTAACATAAAAATTTATTCTAGAAATATGGTTCATTTCTCTCCTCTTAAATCCATAATCCAATTCATCAGAGCAGACCTATACTTCTAATCTGAATGCTTTCTTTTCAATTGTTGTTGCAAAACACAAAAAAAATTTGAAAACCAAACACACTTGCTTGACTTGGCAATATAGTTCACATTCTTAGAGAAGACTGTTTTATGATTTCAAAGTCTATCAGATTTATCTTGGCTGACAACAGACACTCTGCTTTTATATATAATCCTTCTGCAAATCTCAATAAACTCTTTGCTGAAATAATAGCCATCCAGCTGCAAAATCCACAAGATAATTAAACACTTTATGAAAGGACATTTCTTTTTAAGCAGATTGAAATGTTAACAAATTATGACTCCCTCTTAGTTTGAATAATAATTATTCAAATACTTTTTTCTTTCTAACCTTTTCTCATGTAAGTTCTCTCTGAGGCCTTTGGGCAATAGAAAAACTAAAAATGTAACTGTGGGATAGCAGAAGGCTATGTGAAGAAGGCAGGAACAAAAACATCAAACAGTTACTTAATTCTCATTTCAGCTCCGAATCTAGCTTCAGAGGGACTGTCCATAGTCTAAAAGGATAAAGGATAAAGAAGACTGTGCAAGATCACACTGCCTTTGGCATAAGAATTGTTTCTTGCTATGAGACATCTAAGTACAATACTTATAAAAGGCTCCATTTACAGTTGGATCTAGATAATTTGATGCAGTATAAAACAAGTGAGAAAGAAGCATCTAGGAAGAGAAACTTCTAGTAATTTCCAATAAGTCTATTTTCCAAATAAATACCTGAATGAGTTTTCTTGTACTGATTTGGTTTGAGTCTCCATTTTGACTGGACATATGAAATACTGCTTAATACTACTTACTAACCACAGAGAAATTGAAGAAGATGTGGTAGCCTTGCTTAAGAATGTACACTTGAATTAACGCTGACAAAGAAATCTGAAGACTATTGACAATGACATCACAATCTAACATGTCAATCTAACATGTCTATTAACATGACCATCCATTAAAAAAAACAAACAATAACAACAACAAAACATAATGGGGAGAATAAGTTAACAATGGCTATTTTTAAAGGACTAGCAAACTATGTAGAACCACAGGAGAAGGGTGTTTGCTATATACTACTGATTCCAGTCAAGATACCCCCTCTTTTACTTCAGAAAGGGAACAACTCCCTTAAACACACATTTGGTTTTCTTTCTCCAAATGTCTATATCTACAAAAATCACTCCTTGCCCAAAACCAACCTATTTATTTCTCTAAAATATGACTGTATGGTGTGCTACCATTCTAAGGAAGAGTCTAGCAGATGTTTTTGTTTTGCTGTCTCATCTTCAGGCTCCTTTTAAGGAGCTATTAGTCTTCCTTAATCCCCCAGCTAAATTTATCAGCAGTTGTTTGCAGCCAAGAGTTAAGCTAAATTAAACTTTGAAATCCCTGTACAGTGTATCAGATGCACTTCTGGTAGGGGAGCAGAAAGTTCCAAATGTTCCACTTAGCAAAACGTAGGAGAACTATGTTTTTCTCTACAGCTTCCTCAAAGCTTCTACATATTTTTCAAGACGACCACAATTTCCCTGACTTTATAAGAGCAGGAACTCAGCTATTGAAACAACTTTTCATTTAACTCTACATTGGGTATGTACTTGTTTTTTTCACATAGGTACATACTTTCCTCTACAAGTGTTGATTATGAAGGGAGAATAAATTTATACACACATCCTCTTAGGTTAAGGCTGAATGCATGCTTGAGGTATCTGTTCCAGCTGATACCCACAGTGAAAAGGTATTTAGCTACATCTCTTTCTCTCAGCATGTATGTATCAGCTCCCCAGCCTTCATCCTCACACAATCAATCATTCCCTTG